TTGCCATCTAAAGAGCTACAAGGGAACTTCAGAATCGGTCAGTCTTGAAAACCACTCACACGAGTGAGGAAGACGTTCAATAGAAAAGATGTTACTGTAGGTAACCACCGCCCTTCAAAGAGTTAAAGTCAAATGTGTAAATAAAAAACGTTTACAAATATCTAAATATCTTCTTTTAACCATTTAACAATGGCATACTTTTCATAAATATTTTCAAAAATCATCGATTATTTAAATTCTCGTATTTTATTTAATCACAAATTTCTGAAACGGTTGGTATAATTTAGTAGAATGTTTTTCTTGAAATTTTACTTTTTAAACATTTTATTTGATGCTATGAAATTTAATTTTGACGATATGAAATTATCTAAAACTCAAATTTATTTTTTTACCTTATTTATGGCCTTCTTCACATACAGTAGCATAAAAAAAAGCTTCAGTGCGGGAATTTATATTACAAAATTACAAAAATTACAAGAACAGTGTAATTAATTTATGCTACTACCTAATAAGATTATGAATTTTTTTCCTATAAAATGGCATACCAGCTTATAAATGATTGCATTTTGAAACTTTTACAATTTTTATTCATATGATTAATTTCGCAAAATGAGATGTGTAATCCAGTAACAGAAACGTGCTTCGGAAATGCCCCAGAATCACATCCAAATCCTACGGAGGCTATAATCTTCTTCAGCAAAGTAACGCTCATTTTACAAAAATATGCGATAAAATGGAAATGAAAGAAAATGCACAAGTCAACTCTCTAGTCTTCTAAAAATTTCAATAATAAATATTTGTTACTATAAAATCAAATTTATAGGATTTTTGCTGTCACCTACTAACCTTTTCTGCATTTAAAATAGTTATAGGAACGTAAAATTGAATAACGGAATAGTATGTTCAGAATAGAGCCAGGAAGAGTACGGCACGACAAAATAAATTCGGAATAACCGTGCTCAAAGGTTAAGGTAAAAGAAAGCTCAAAGCTTAATTATTACCGGATTATAATATGTTTACATCTTCTGCCAACAAACACATTTATTCGCATGGAAGTGCTTTATAACAGTGGTCCTCAAACCATTTAAAAATTGTATAATTTAACCCTGACAAAACGTCTAATGGATTCCCAAGTTAAAATTTTATCAAATGACTAGTTCAAAAAATATTTCATGGTTATCTAAAATTAATACGCTTATTTTTAATTAGTCAGGAGAATAATTTTTTTGTGAAATTACCTCAAGTAGCAGACAGCTATTTCAAGAATCCTAATTTTGCTGTAGAAACTCTAACTGAGAATGACTATTCATAACCCAAAAGAAATAATTCACAGTTAAATACTCATAGAAACGGTTTATGTTTTTTCTTTCCGGCAATTAAACAGGAAAATGACTAGACGGATATATATTTTGCGAGGTTATACATTTTTATAACTAAAATTAGTCTTATTTCTGAAGAATAAAAAAATTAATCCTCAATGTTCTTCTGTTAGATGGATGTGCTTGCATTCCTTCATACAGAAAGCAGAAGTTCGGCTCCAACAATAAGCTATGCTATTATTCTCATACAAATAATGTTGCCGAGAAAGGCAGCGTAAAGACGACGACGTCATCAGGGTTTTCAGAAAAATTGTTAGTTTTTTAAACTAATTTTTTTTAAAATACATGTTTTCTTAGAATATTCAAGGTTTTCATCAAAAAATACACTCACTTCCAGCAGTTAAGCACGAAGATGTAAAATGCAAAAAAATCAACAAATACTGCTTTGATTGACACAAAATTCGGGAGGAAAGTAGCATATATATATATTTATTCATAAAAACAAAATCAATAATTATATACAGAAATGAAAACAATATTGAATTTTTGTAAGTTATCAGATAATGACATACTGGAGACTTAATTATGTATAAAGTGAAAATAAACAGCATAAAATGAAAAAAAGGACATTAATAGGGTATGTGACCCCCTCTCATCTGTATACAAAGTTTACACTTTGTGACCATGCTTTCAATTAGGTGATCAACCACCGCAGAATTAAGCAATCGCCATTCTTCTCTTAGTTTCCAGCTCAATAAGAGTGGCTGGAGGTGGGAAACGTAAAGATACAGCACGGCCGAGAGCATCCCAAAGATTTTCAATGGGATTAAAGTCGGGCGAATATGCTGGCCACGCCATACGCGCAATCCCTTCACTCTCCAGGTAGTCATCGACGATGCCAGCTCTACTGGGACGTGCGTTATCGTCCGTTAAAATAAAAGTAGGGCCAACTGCTGCAGCGTACAATCTCACAATAGGTTCTAGGACTTCATCTGGATACCGAACAGTCGTCAAAGAACCCCGTTTAAAGATGTACAGTTCGGTGCGGTATCCTAATGAAATCTATGCCCACACCATAATGCTTCCGCCTCGGAATGCGTGATGTTCGGTGATGTTTTGGGACTGATTGCTTCGTTGTTCACGCCATATCCTTATACGCTTGTCATCTGGCTCCAGAGCAAATCTTGACTCATCAGTAAACATGACATTGCTCTATCAGGTTCAGTGTTCCGCCTTACTTTCTTTGGGAACATGCAAAGGCCCTGACTCGGAACAGGGAGCTTACTAAAGCTATGTTCAATAAATGTGGGAAGTAGACAAGATACACAGGAAGGGTATACGAAACCCTTTATTTTTCACTCTTTACAATAATTTCCGTACTTCGGAATACAGAGACCAACTACTTGTGGTCTGAACGTAAGAATATAAAAATATTTAACTAAACTCTAACTTAACTTTGGAATAATAAACAAGGGCCTACGTCGAAGATTGGCCGGATATTAACAGGAAGCCGTATGTAGTACAGAGAACTGTTAACACTACAATACGTTTAAAATTATCAAGAGGATTAAACCTCTGGCCTGGAAGGCAAACCAGCAACCGAGTAAAAACTTCTAAGGCAAGCGGCCTGCTTCGACTAACTCCTTCCTCTCTCTCGCTTGGCAAAAAAGCCACAACTTAAGTACTTGGCGTTCGCCAGACAAATTTGCATAAATAAGTTAAAGCTTTTAATTCTGGTCGGAAGTAGAAAATAAGAAGTGATAGTAAAGATTTAAAATAAAAATAAACGTTAGTAAAACTTAAGATCCTTACAGCCCTAGTCAGACACATTCCAATTGACATTTTCCCGGCACCACTGTAATCGTGCCCTTCTTGATTGGACGGATAGAAGAACACAAACTCGAGGTAATCGGGCGTACAGTCTACTCATGTGTAATCTTCGGCGTACAGTAGCTGCAGATATCGCCTTACCAATGGACATGTAACCATAGATATCACACATGTGGAGGTCGCTCTGCGATTCCGCTTGCCTACAATAGCAATATATCGATCTTCCGCGGGGATTGTAACCCTTGGGCGACAGGCTGCGGGTTTTCGGACAACTGTCTGTGTGGTTTGGAATTTTTTCGATAAACGTGAAATTACAGAATGATGAACGCCGAAGAAAAGAGCAACATCTGTGATCGTCTGTCCTGCTTCAATGCGGCCCACAGCACGCCAGCGCTCAGAATCTTCCATTCGTCTTCTGGAACTCATAGAAACACGTATGTCTTGAAAACAAGTTGTACGAAAGTTTTAAACACCTCCTATCAGCACTTACAATCAACTTCTGTAACCCTTCATAAAGCTGGTTTCTTATAAGACTGCCTTTTTTGCATATTTCTTGACATGAAAGCGCGATTGGCTGTTACCTAACTTATTAACATACTTCCATCTACCTCTGCAGCGAATTGCATCTTCTTCAGTTCTTATTGGCTTCCGGAAATTAGCTTTTTCCTCTCCTTGCTTAACTTTTAGAAGTGAGTGTAGTTCGATAATTTCTTCTTTTTCCTTCGCTGGAAAGAAATCTTGTGTTTAGATTTCCCTTTAAAAGATTTCAGGAAAATGCTTTCTAACGATTTCAATAAAATCTAGACGACTATTATTTTATGTAATTAGCAAATGAATCATGAAGATCAGCTTCATAGTTTTCTGTAAAAGTTTCTGATCCATGAAGTCAGAAAGATCGCCTTTTTCCTGGATCCTTTCCTTCTCTTAAGCTGAGAGAAATTGTAAGATTTTTCTCCTTCCTTACCAATAGCTTTCGTGGTGTAAATGGAATACCAGAAGGTCTAGTGTTCGAGTGTCGGTGAGGATACTGCACAGAAGAAGTCACGAGAATATTACATACTGCTCGGCCATTTTCATAGTGATTTACAAGGATCCATATAAAGGTTCTATAAAGTCTAATTCTCTCTTCTGGAAGCATGACAGCAATTTATGAGCAGTTTTTTCAATAGCAGTGCAAAAATGTTATAAATAGCTTTGAAATTTTAACCCTCACTGAAAGGGAAGAAAAGCAAATGACGAAAATATTCATTATTACCTACCTAACTCTTTATCGTGTGCCTGAAAAATCGAACTCTAGATAAAATAGCAAGAAAGATGAACAAAAAATTGTCAAGATATTATAAAGTTGGTTAAAACAAAACCCTGGGAGAAAATGTTCCTGGATAAGGAAACAAATGCAGTTTAAATTATCTAACTCTTAAATACTTAAATCTTTCACTGGATAGCATCTTGAAACTTGATATAAAAACTTGAGGTTCTTGGTAGGAATACAGAAAAATTGACCTTGACAGTAGGCATATGTAACCAAACACAAGAAGAATAGGACATGCAAAATTAGAAGAGGAAGGAAAATATTATTTTTCAAGCTTTTGTTGTCGTTCTTTCAACATTCGATAAGAAATGAGTAAAGTTACATGTTTCACAGCGATATTTTATAATTTAAGCTACACAATCCATCACTGAATAACTTTACAATAAAGTCATCCATTGATAGAATATGTAATTTTCATCGATGTGCATCTTCGTCTGAAAATTCTGTTTGTGTTCATTACATATTCTTTCCTGAAATTAAGCTTTATACTGGTTATGAAAGCATGACATTGAAATACTTTTTTCTTTCTTTTGTTATAGGAGGCGTCATGACCAACCGACTGAAAGTACTGAGTTCAATTCCTGTAGTTTCCAATCCACAATGCGATCGCACATACCGAGATAGACTCTCAAATTTTCTTCGCCAATTTCCTACAGGAATTTCGAGTGGCATGCTTTGTGCCGGCTTTCCTGAAGGAGGGAGGGACAGCTGTGGAGTGAGTTTTAATATTATTTCCTTTGTATCACACTTTGTTTATACTAAAGAATAGGTTCTCGATCTTTTATACTTCAATCAGCATACGCTTTATTGTAAGTAAATTAAACCTTCTTCTTCTTGTTCAGCAAACGCTTGTCTTTAGCCATGTAAGCCATTTGACACCGCGCCTTCCAGTATAGCCATGCCCATCCTTCATTGCGTCTTCTCGGGTTTCCACCTCCACATCGTTGCAAGTGCGAAGATGATAAGCGTTCCTTTCCCCTGAGTAACATACAGGGCATATGGGGGGCTGACAATGCCGATTTTATGGAGATGGCTCTGGAAGTAGTCGTCACCTGTGGTTCAGTCTGAAAATGGCTACAGCGACGTGCCGGGGCAGATTGTTGGGGGATGGATTTTGTTATTATCGCTTCCCATCTTTTACTAACAGCAGCCGGCCTCCACGCATTGTCCACGGCTTCTGTAGAGTAATTTGCCATCTTTTACTAACAGCAGCCGGCCTCCACGCATTGTCCACGGTCCCCTTGACTGTAGATGTAATTTTGCTGCATATGGTTCTGTATGTTAGGGAGTGCATTGGCTGAGGCATAGAACATCCTTCCTTTGCTAGTCTGTCCGTCTGTCTTTTCTGTGATGTCGCAGTTATCCACAAAGCAATCACGAAATTGCAGTTGGAAAGTTCATTGTAATATGTACACTATTTTACTATTATCCACAGAAGCAAATGTTTTTGTAAATAATAACTTGGCTCCCAGACGATAAAAAAAGAAGGAAAGAAAACTAATTCTTAATATTTTCAATGCAATTCTAAATTATGCAAAACTACAGATTTGTTATAGAAGTCCAGTCTATACAAATTGACTGGTATTCCAACAATATCAAGCACATTTTCTAAAAAATGCTATTATTTGGTCCATTACATGTATCTAATTGTTTATAAAAAGGCTACAAAAATACATAATTTCTTCAAAGGTGTTAAAACGTCTAATGGAAAACAGGAACTAATTCCCAATTAAAATAGACATAAAATACATAATTATTGAGTACATATTCACGCGTAGCGATGAGCGCGGGTTCGAATCCCGGAGAAGACATGATTGTAACTGTCCGTCTATTCATTTCATAGGAGGCAACGGTAGCCATCTGTTAGGTGATTACATAATGAAATGGTCGCCATGTATGGCCCTTGTAGTGGCGTAAGGCTAATGACTATTAAAGAAAACACTTGGTCATTAATAAAATTGTCTCGGTGACTTTCAAGAGATTCTGTTTGTGCCTGATATTCAAGGGAGAGGATTGGATTCCGAAGCACCACAAACTATTCGTAGAGACTTATTTTGAGCGGAGTCGAGCTTCATTTTTACGGTTTCGCTAGCTGTAGAAAAGGCTTCTCATCCGTATTCCATCATTGACCTAATTTGTGCTTTACAGGTGGTCGCAAGGACTTGATCTGTTGCAACCCATTCGGTCTTAGTGATTCTTTTTAGTATGCATATCTTCTAGGTGGCCCTGGTCGCTATATCATCGATATGTTAAGCTCATTTCATCGAAAAGTCTGGTTGTATTCCCAGGTATTTGGTTGTAGGCGCTGTAACTATTAACGAGGCATTATACTGAAGGTCTATCTGATGTTTTTTATTTGCTGTTGACAGAGTGAATAGATGTGCTCTGGTCTTGTTCATAATCATGTCGTTTTCTGTACGCCATAATTTAAAATGCTAATATACCAGATTTAGCGTTTGCTTTAGGACAGGTATATGCTGGTGGACCAGATTGTTACATAGTCAGCGCGGCACAAAATATCGGTAAAATTGATCTTATTCAGTTTAGTTATCAAATCATTAATCATGATGTTAAAGAGTGTGCAGTTCAAGACAGAAGCTTGGGGGAGACTCTTCTTTTGAGGTTGATAAAAATGCAGCTTAGAACAGTGACTAACAAAAAAGGATCACTGGATATCATTTTCCTGATATCTTATTAGCCCGAAAACGATTTCATGACATTTGACATAACTTTCCAATTCCATAATGTTCTGACAACATGACTGTTCGATACCACAAATGTTCACTTTCAAAATGAAGGTACTGTTATTATTTATCTGCACGTAACTAATACCAATAACGATAAAAAATGAAGTAAATTATTTTCTTAAATTTAAAATGTTGCTTTTTTCAAATAAAACGCATACATACATTAATATTAAATTCTGTATTGAAAGGTTACACACATTGATAAATAGATAAATGATATAAAAATTTAACAAAGCTTAAGATATAAATATTTTACTATATAGTAAGTGAGGTGACTGCGATTGTTTCCGTTTGTACAGTTTATCAATCAATGATTGATGTTATCTTGTTTAAGCAGATAGGTTTGGCAACACAATTACATTAGAATATCTTGTCAAATTTCGGGTTACGTAAATTTTATTCATTTTATTAGATTCATATGAAAAGTGATTGTGTCGTATGCTGTCACATCTTTCCAAACTATAAAAGATATATGGGTTCATATAAAAATCATATGAAATGTATACCGTATATATACGATGTATATATATATATATACGATCCTCCCATAAAATCTTGTATATTTTGACTAATAGCAAATCACTATTTATTTTATTTTATTTTGTACAATGGCATTACCTGCCCATTATCTGTAGTTATTATCACACCTTAATGTGTTTCTTCAAGCGGACGCGTCGGGAAATTGGAACAGAGAATTGAGACTAAAGTTATGGCGAAGTTTTTTCAATTAATTTATAAAAAGTGTTTCGTATACAGTTTCAATTGTTTGTTTCGGCGAAACGCGATATGGAGTTAGCTGGATTCGAAAATCATTAAAAATAATTTCCCCTGAAGAGCCTTAATGAAATTCGAATTGGGCTAATCTACCATTTACCGCTTCTTTGTTTTTGTACTTTTGCTTAAGTCATTTGTCGCACTTTAATTCTAATGTCTAAAATATGCCTTACTTTGATCAGTATATTACATTACAAATAGTGTTGAATTTTATTTGTAAATATTCAAGTGTTTATATTGTTTATCTAATCTTTGTTACACATTTCATTGCACTTTATTTTACTTATGTTAATATTTTCACGAAACCATAGTATCTGAGCAACTTTTAGCGTACGAACTAGGAATTTTCTTTCAACCTTTTTCTAAATTTTGCAGCTCAATGCGTAAAGTTTTTGCCCACATAGGTCTTTTATCGTTTGTTCTCTTTTCTTTAATTATTATATATATATTCATATACACATTTTTACTTGCAAATGCAGTTGACAAGAGATTCTTGGGTGTTACTGCAAGTTTGTAAAAACTCGTAGCCTTTTTTTCTAACTTCGTTTTTTAGGTACTTTTAATTTATTACACACTTGTCTTCCTCTTTTGTGTATATCTATGACATTACAATATACTTGAGCGCAACTAACTTAAAGCCGAGGCCTTCGAAATGCAAATTATTTAGCTGAGAATTTTAGCTATAAATAAGCCACAGTGATAGGTTTAGATTAGTTTAGCAGAATCACATCACTCATTAGACAATGTTCGCATATATTATGAAAACATCAAAGTGATTTATATCTGGTGTTGCTTTCAATGCATTCATCTGATAAGAACTTCATTGGTTAAACTTCATCGGTTAAATTTAAGTTAGTTAAACTTCCTTGGTTCTTTACGTCTGTTACCGATTTTAAAGGATTTTCTATAATCGCAAAGTCTCTGCCTCTTCTAAAGAATTGTATCAAGTTATATAAGATTTTAAAAATGTAAAAAAGGCAATTTTTGGAAATAATTATAGATCAGGAATTATCACTGAATCTACTTTATCATTTGAAAGGGAGGAAGTCATTAAAACAGTGCAAAGATTAATTCTAATAAATCGCATTAGTTGGGAGTTATCAAATAACTTTGTAATAAAGTTTTAAAAGAAATTTGTCAAAGAGCTAGTTTAAGAAATTTATTTTATTTATGCAAAACTTAATCTATCAAGCCCAGCACGAAGATGAAAATAATTTATATGCAAATACAACGTATTATGCTTCTTGTAGCTCCTTAATGTTATCGAACTGTTTTTTGGGAACATTTTATAAATGTTGGAAGGCCTGTTTCTACTGAAGTGAAATTTAATATGAAATCTAAGCTATTTAGAAATATAAAACGGTGACCAGGATATTATAAGTTATAGTTTGATTTGAAGATCAGTTACGTAGATTTCGAGATATATTTGTGGAGACATTAGTTTATTTTGAAGCAGGAGAGATGAAAAATGAGCAATGCCCTCGCCGAGACTCGAACCACGGACCTCTCGAATACGCGTCGAGCGTGCTGATCACTACACCACGAAGGCATGCTAAGGCACTTATACATTTTAAGTTTTAGGAAGAGTTAAGGGGGAACATCTCAATTCTGATGAAGAAATTTAACTAGTCTTCTGAAAAAGAGATTGCTATTAACAGGGTATACTGAAATTGATGCCACAAATGCAAGTACAGTCTTGAAATGCCTCATTCTTTTGCTGAAAAATAATTTATATACTAAGCTGCATTGTCTACATACTATTTGATTTTGTCTATTTATTAAGCTTTTACTAAAAAGGGAGAAAAAGTGTTAGACATTTATTACCTTTGGTCTTCTTGCATAGTTCGGTATTTTAGACAGCGTTTCATACCTTATGTTACTAAATCGTAATAACACTGTGAAACTTCTTTGCAATCCTTTTTAATATACAAATTTCTGTTTCCATCTCTAAAATTTGACATTTATAGCATTTTCTGAAAACTGATTCAATTATAACTTCAGGTACTCTTATTAATTTCAAGCACTTGCATTTTCGATTTATTAATTACGTAACTTAAAATTTAGGGTGATTCCGGTGGACCTCTAATGTATCAAGACCAAGGTCGATGGTTTGCTGTGGGTCTTGTTTCGTTTGGTTACGCATGCGGAAGACCTGGTTTCCCGGGAGGCTATACCAGAGTATCTTCCTATTTAGGCTGGATACAGCGAAACCTGCGTTCTTGATGCGACTTCGAAAAATAATGAAGATTTGTAAAATAGATGCTGAAGTTAATGATGAAATTAAGTCTTATTTATATGAAATCTGTTTTATTGTGTTTTTGTTGTTCTATTTATTATTGTTATTTATTAATTTTTAACTTCATAGCTTTTTGTTATTTAAATATTTAAAAATTTCACTTAGTTTACATTAATCTAAGGATATTGATTTACTTTATTTTAATTATCGAAGAGATGTTATTTCCCTGCACTGTAATAATATAAATGATAGAATAACATCCTTTTGCAAATGCAGTATTTAACAGGTCAAAACTTTTACGAAATAATCCCGAAAATTTTTCTTATGTAAGTTTCGGTATTAAATGATATCCAAAGTTAAGTTTTCTGGGGTATGGAGATTACTAAATGTCACAGGAACGAATTATATATATGATTCATAAACACAGGACTGACTGATAAATATATGATAACTGAATGACGAGAATATAGGTATGACGAGAATATAGAATTTATTAAGTGTCGACACATAAAATGGTTAAAGTTTAAAAATCAAAGATGTTGAAATTTTGAAAAAAATATAACCCTTCTATTCTAATGCACACATATAACGCTTTAGTAATGCACACTTTAATAATAAAAAAACCGAGATTTTGAGAGCTAATAAATGGACACAGTAACTGGAAATTGTGAGTTTCTACTTTTATTGCATTTTTGTTTTGTTTCTACTTAAGCAGTTGGAAAAAAATATTATAGTTGAACACTTGAAAAATATGACCAGCTTCTTGCTTATTTACATGGAAACTCTTAAATATGGCTAAAATGAATTGTGAAAACTGAATGACTTCAAAATCGCAGTCAACTGTATTATTTACTGGCATATGTTGCTTTATGAAAGGTACTATTATTCTTTTTCTGAAGCTGGATATAACTGAACTTTATCAAGGAAATCTGGCTTCTTTCTTTTTTTCAAAAAGACGTAATAACCACTGACACCGATAAACATTCCAACGATCAACAAGATAAAGATTACAGCAGCCAGTGTCACTGAAATGAAAGAAAAAAAGAATAAATTAAGCAATTCATAAGCTTATATGAAAACTAAAATGAAATATATTACAGTTACAATAACTAATAATGCCATGTATTTACTATACGTCGCTTGGGTTAGCTTCCATCTAGACTGTTCGCCATATCAAATTTTGATGCCTACTCGTCAATAGCTTCGATATCCTGTCATGCAATGGGTCTATGCTGTTGGTAATCTGTACTGTTAGGGCTATAGCTGACTACTATACATATACATTGTTTTCAAAAGCATTTTCATTTAAATCCCATGAACTTATTCAAACAATAAATTCAAATTAATTCTAGTAGCTATCATAGCAATAACAGAAATGCTAACTTCTCCTATGTAAGCAGGAAAATCCTCATTTTGCATCTACTGCCGTCGATAAGATTTACAACTCGTATTTATCCGGACGTTTTGTTATTCTTAAAATTTTTCACTGTTTTTATGCAGCTTGGCTTAATAGTATTTCATAATTTGCACCAGAAATGTTATTTTTAGGGTCTAAAATCGTTTCTGTGATAATAAAAGTCGGTGCGACTCAAAACGTCTAGCTTATATCACAAATGAGCACAAAATAAGATACAGACAAATTATAAAGATGCTGTTATTTGAGAATTATTGCACCAATTTCGAATTACAGCTATCTTAAAAATTCCAGAATTAATGTTATACTATTGAATGTTTGAAAGTTTCTAAATGAAGAAGTCTATGTAAATTCAAATTGAACAAATAATGATAAATTTAATGCCTGTGTTATCACATAGCACAAGATTTTGAAATTTATTGGTGCGTTTAAATTTCTGACGCTTACTAGATAAATGCATTCATTATACATAGTAAACCCTTGCCGAACGCGGGCTTGTAGAACGTGATTTTCAAATATTCGTTTTCTCCATTTAATTTCTCCATTTTCCAGTGAGAGAAAATCAATTTATGCGGTACGCTGCAGAGCATAGGCCGTCTAGCGATAGTTCTCTTTAACGACTGGTTTGAAAATTGATTCATTAAAGAAGTCAAATATTACTTTATATAGCAAAACCTAAACTTTAAAGTTCTTCTAATTTTCGATAACTGTCCAAGACATGGTACTGAAGCATCACAATGTTGCATCCAAAATGTAGAGGTTTCATTCCTTTCACCAAACACCACTTTTTTAATTCAACGAATGGATCAAAGCATCATAAAAACGTTCAAAGCTTATTATGTCAGGCATGTTTACATCTCTGCAAATAAAGCTCTAGAAGAAGGAAAGCAGGACTTACTAATGGCATTTTGAAAGCAACTCAATATAAGATACTGCATAGAAATGATTAAACTCGCATGGGAACAAGTGAATTCATAAACAATAAATGCTTGATGGCATCAGCCCTTGAAAAGGAAGGCAAGGAAATCAGATAAATTACAAATCTAATAGGCAGCGAAGGATTTTTCAGACATGGAAGAAGAAGAAATGAAAGAGTTAGTCAAGAAGGACAAATATGAAATGGCAAATGAAAAACTGGATGATCCTGTAACAGCAGTCGGTGGTGAAAGAAGCAATAGTGAAGAAGATAAAGAACCTTTAATGTACAAGTAAGTTAAACGAATTATTTTAAAAGGCACAGGAACTGTCTGTGATCCAAATGAAGAAAGAAGAGGACTCTTTATAAGAGGTATTGAAAATATTCGCATACGTGAAGGCAAAACGTTTAATGAGTTGCATTAGATAATGTCCCAAGCAAAGTTCACTAGCTATTTAAAAATTATTAAAAAAGTAAAAAAAAATATATTTTAAAAGTAATTTTATCATGTATATATTTTTAAAGCAGTAATCGGAATCTTTTTAATTATCATTCGTTTCATTTCCCTCTTTTAATTATTATAATATTTATGTTTGTATAAATTATACACACATTCTTAATTTGAATTAACCTAACGCATTTTGTCCATTAAAAGTTAACTTTCATTTAAACTGAACAGGATTTTGCTGTTTCAGCTTTAATTTGCAATAGTTACTTAACGCTTCATTTTAATTTGCTATCTCCCTTTTCTGTCCTAAAAATAATAACTGCGTGTAATAAATCTCTTCAAACTGCGTCATTTACAAATTAACTCATATCATATGATTTTACATAACGCTGGTGATGCAGATGGGTTTGTGAACTGAAACTCAAGCAATAATTTTCGAAACCTTTAACAGCCAATATTAAATTTCGTAAATATAACTCTATTCGTTTTGAATTAAGCATTTCATCTTGTAATACGACACATTTCGCTCTCCGGTTCGCTTCTGCCAACTTGCTGCTGTCATAAAAAATGTAACAAATTCTGTAACAGGTGCACTTACTACAAAAATTAGTTTTGTTCTGGTTATTAAAATGTGTGTCAACCAAAATAAAAGGGAATATTTTAATCTGCAATGACTGAAACTACTTTTCTATGTTTCAATATCATGATTTCAACATTTACCAAATCATTACACACACACAGATACATATATATACATATATATAAGATAAAATTATGTAAATCAGCTTTATAATTTAATTTAGCAATAGCCTCTTAATTCCTCATTTTTCATTTGGGTGTTTCCTCTTTATTCTAAAAACTGTAATAACTTTTCTGGACTGCGTCATTTCTAGATCAATCTATGTCACTTGCTTTGCGTAACACTGATGACGTAGCTAATTCAGAACCTAATTTAAAGTTTTGAGAATTGAAACTTTCTCTCAGTGAGCCTTCGTACTGGATAATTTCGCACCTTAGCTTCCGCCTCTCTTCTTATTAAGACGCTATTTCTCTCTACTGATTTCCTATCGCGACAGTATCAAAAATGAAAATGTTCTTAAATAGGCACGATACAAGTGCCAAGTAAATTGTGGCCACAGACGCCAACTGAATTTAAAATTAATATTTAATTTTACTCGGCTGCCAAGTTTCCTTTTCAATATGATATATATACAGGGTGACTAATAATTCATAGTACAAACTTTGAGAGCTAGTACAGGACACTGTAACAATCACATTTTGTATAGGAATGCATGGAAAGTAATGAATATAGTAATTTACTTATCTACTCCTGTTCTAATTCATTACATAGGGGCATCATTAAAGCCAGCATCCTCTAGTAAAAAAATAGATTCTCTGTACTCATTTGCAAAATTTCAAACAGAAATCTTCCCTCTTTGTAATTTGTTGTTGTTGTTAACTAATGCTCACTTGTCTGACCTAGTCAGCCCAAGCCCACGATATTCATCGTGGCAAGGAGCGCAAGTTTACGCCTGTCGCTGGCAACAGCCTTGAGTATCTTACAGGTGACAGAGAGATTTAGCTCAGTTTTGCCCCCAATTTTGATGGAGAGGAGGGAGGGGTTTGAGCGTCTCCCAACACCTCTCTAGAGGACATTCGGCTTGCCGTAGATTTAGAGTGTTTTCATGCCGCACGGACACTATACATCCATGCCTTCTCCGGGGTTCGAACCCAGGCCGTTCGGCACGGCAATCAGCCAGGCTAACCACTGTACCAGTTGGGCGGCCTCTTTGTAATGCTAACCTTCATCATGTACTTTACTGTCTTTTTTTTTTCACCGCCATATAAAGATATGAAATTTACTCCAGAAAACGTGAAGTAAGGAATATACACTTTATACCAACACCATTAAACACCATTATAGGCTTATGCTACGCTTTAACACCCTTAAACTGTGTAAAAGACACCATGAATACATATTCGTAAAGCATGTCTCGTATCTTTCTATGTTAACTCAATTTTTATATCAAACTTTGTTATACTGCGTCTAACAAAAAGAGAATGTTCTAAGACAATACACCCTACTTATTATCAAAATAAAAAGTCAATATGAGAATCTTCATGTTCTGCCTACGCTATCTACACATCAAAATTATCATTATATATGTAATTACTATTATTACATTAAGATGTCGGACATTTAAAAATAGGTCAAAACTCTTTAAACCTCTTTCACAGGAAATTTTGTTAATTATTCCAGTAGCTGTACAAGGTATTTCATTAGTCCAATCGATCTAAAGAAGTTTAAATTTAGAAAAAATGCACTATTGCTTGTGGGTTAACTTAAAATTCTCAGTTTACGCAAAGAAAATTATTGACTTCCAGTGCTTGGAAGAATTTTTGACTCATTAAATATATATTAACTGACAGGATCTATGTGTTGTAAAGAAGGGCGAGGATTTTGATGATATTCTGTGAAAACCTTTTTATCAAGAAAGACTTCTGAGACACCTTGTATGCACTTACGTTAATTACGGTTTTATAAGTGGATAGAAATTAATTAAATTACCTCCGGAGTAGCAACTTTTTTGTTCACCTGAAAATAAAAAAGTATAATTACTAAATCTTAGATAATCTTAGATATCTTATTATCTTAGATAATTTTTATAGTATATAATTATATATACTTTACGTAACTGGTATGAAGTGACAATAAACTTCACAATTACTAAATCATTTTTGAAAGAAGAAACATGATTAAAACTTGTAGTATAAAATTAGACGTGCTTTAAATATTGGATATGAAATGACAAGTAGTGTACTATAGCTATAACAGCCACAGGAACGTCATTTAAAAAAATGTAATAGAAATGTTAAAAGAAATTTAAATGCGTTGATTTCTGTACAAAGAAAGGAAATATGCAAACCAAAGATATATTACGCAGTTAATAATTTTATAAACAAAAATTGCAAAGTACCTACACGAATGTCGTATCTTTACATCTGGCAATGTCTTTCATGCCTATGTTTGTTCCACAAATTTTAGTCTAATTTTTAGATTCTGTAGGCGTTATTTTAAGTTTATAGCAGTTATTTTAATTTTTAAATATTCTTTACTGTCTATTCTCGTTTCCCACCTACTATTCCCTACCAGAATAAGTTTCTAGTATCGCATTGCATGTAAATGAGGTAGAAAGGAAGGTTTCCCTTACTTTAGCAGAAGAGCTTAGGAATACTTGTAAATATTATGTAAATAGTGGTCTATTTTATGTAAAAATATGTATTTTATGTTTTATGTACTGTATAATTCTGTAAAATGTGTTTTTTCTCATCTCTCACATGACAAAGGAGTCACCAACTTTCATTCTTATGCTATTTTATGTATAATTTTAGACTACCTATCAACGTTTGAACTTAATTGTTAGTTATTGTTTATTTAAAGCGTAGCGATAACTCGCTATCTTGTCTAGTAGGGTCTTCAAAACTTAACTTTAGTTTCCAGTAAGTAATTTTTGTTCCTATTGCGATTTATTACAACTATTACGACTTTGCACTTTTACATTTCTGACGTTCTTCCAACAATAGTATGCATATTGTGTTGCTTCCATTATATGCTTTTCTAAAACCTGAATCTTCTTTTTTTGAAGTACCGTATATACTCGCGTATAAGTCGATACCGCGTATAAGTCGACCCCCCACTTCGACATAAAAAATTCGTAGAAAATAAGAAACCCGAGTATAAGTCGACCCCCACTTCCGAAATCGATCGAGAAACTTCGTAAAATTTTTTTAAGTACTACATTTATTCAAAATCATCCGAGGAAAAAAAGTAAATATATGATAAAAAATACCTTGGTAAATAAACAAAATCAAAATCCTTCAACGTCCGATTCATGGTCAGATTCGCCAAACATTTCATAGAACTCTTCTGTCGTCATTGGCTCGTCATCATACATATTTTCAGTCTCGAACTCTGTATTGTTACAATCACTACTAGAGCCTTCGTTCGTCATTTTCCCTTTCAAAACAGTATCATCTTCCGTGCCGTCTAGTTCGTTGCTAATACAACATTTTTTAAATGATTTTATAATCATTTCAGAGGGTATTTCGTTCCAAGCATCTTTAACCCACTGAGCAAATTAATGTAATATCGGGCTTTTTAATGTTGCCTCCCTTTGTAAATGTTGGTCGACCGGTAACTAATCCACTCTGCCCAATATTTTCTAACATTTACTTTGAAGGGCTTATTGAGGCAGACATCTAGGGGTTGAATGACGGATGTCAATCCTCCTCCCAGAATTACGGCACCACAGTCGTTTTTAGGTGTTTTTGTAACTTTTGTCACTTCTTCAGAAAAGTGTCCACGATAAGAATCGTACACTAAAAGCGAAGGTTTTTTGAAAGCTTCTCCCAGTCTTTTATCTCACACATTTTTAAGCCAATCGACTGTTCCTGTCAGCATCCATCCATCCCTTTTCATGGGCGCGAACCAGCACACCTGATGGAAACACAACGTTTTTCGGTAAAGTTTTTCTTTTAAAAATGATCAACGGACGATCTTTAAAAATGACTATCTGCATTTCTCTTTTCTTGGCGTGTTAAACTTTTTTATTGCTCGATATTGATCGGTTGTTCGGGAGCTGAAAATTCTTTGGTTTAATCGAAACGTACTCTAGTTAAAGTATGAAACTCTGTGATTAGTTCGTCACATAATTTAAGTCATGAAATTACTTCAAGTAAGTGACTTATTTGATAAGTCGTCCAATTTGAGCGCGGGAAGAAAACAACTGCATTATATAAAGAAATTTTTGAACTTCCGATTCTTTTAATTTTTTATGGCCCCACGTATAAGTCGACACCCCCACTTTGAAGTCTTTTTTTTTTTGTCCAAAATATCTCGACTTATACGCGGGTATATACGGTAGATTTTCTCTTTTTTTTCCCCAGTTGAAATGCTTTCGCGCTGGGAAATCCCGGGGTTAATTTTAGGAATTTATGTGGATATTCTGAGATTCCGCAATCATCAGGTTTTTCTGTGATTGTTAAATACATCTGTCGATTCTATGTCCTTCCTGTTACATTTTGATTTCTCTTGTAAATGCCAGACTATTTTTATGCTTGAATTACTTTAAAAATAACACCTTTAAAGAATTTACTTAAAAATTATACACCACAATTACCTTATTTCAAAATCCAAACCTGTGTTCTAAACTTGTGCAAAATTAAGCAAATTTGCATATCGTGTCGAATTTTTAAAAACTAATGGATAGATTTTAATGAAATTTAGTATGAATGTACATTTAAGAGAGAGAAAGAGATGTTTATGTTCTCAAAATTATCGTAAAGCTTCTTATAGTGCAAGGATGTCAAAAATCCACTTTATCATATCGAAGTGAAAATGAATCTGATATGAGGTACGGTACCTTCTCACAGGCAGACAGGTCACGCAGCGTGACAGCATACTGGACAGTAAGCAGTTGAGGAGTCCCTGTGGCATTTGATCCCACTCCTGCAGCAAGGCAGTTTTCAACTCCGAACTGATTTTCGGAGGGGGATGGCAAGATGAAATTGCTAAGAGAATCCCAGACATATTCTATAGGGTTAGGGTCCGGAGACCTCGCTGGCCAATTCACGTGGCAAATATCCTCACTTTCAAAGTAAACGTGGATGGTAAAGTCCCATGGGGACGAGCGTTGTCGTACATTAACAAGAACACAGGACTAACTGCTCCTCTGAAAAGTCGAACTTAGGGCTATCAGATCATTCTGTACCTCACAGCAGTCAGGGAGCTTTTGTCATACACATACTGGGGTAGGCGACCGTCCAACATAATGCCTTCCCAAGCCGTTTCTTCTTCACCACTATAATGATCCTTTTCCTTGATGAGGACCTATGATATCGTGTGTTTTATGCTCTCTCCAGATGTAGGTACGCCATAATCGGTATCCAGGATGAATTTCGACTCATCTGTAAAAGCACCGTGCTCCACTGAAGTCTGGTCCAAGGCACATGTTGTCTGTACAATGTTAAATGCGTTCTCTTGTGTGCTGCAGTGTGAGTAAGTCAGAGGGTCTTCACTATCTCATGAAACCTTTGGGCAAGTCACTGCAGTCTGTCAGAATCGGCCTCCACTGGCACCATACAGCTCACATGAGAGCTGTAAAGTTGTAGCCGTCCTGTGTCGCCACGCTTGAAAGTGCCAAATAATGATCTTCGTTCACCGTTGTGGATCTTGATTGACCTTTTGTCATCCATACGTTCGTGGCTACTCATTTTACCTGATAATTTATAATAACATTTACCTATTCTTGCGAGAAACACGTTGAATGCCGTGAAGGAGTACGATCACATAAACCGCCGAAAACCCTCGTGCGCTTACATCCCTTTCACAAACACAGCTTCACTCGCATGTGTACGCTTACGTACTCGATTCTAATTATTTGTATAATTCTTCAATAATTAGCACCCTATGGCTCAATACTTTCTTAAAAATAGACATATTCTGCAAATTCTCTTAAATTTGCCTACCAGAGTAGTATCAAAAACATTTAAATGAAATTTTGATCTCAGATAAAGGTAATGATTGCATTACGAAATTTTGATTGGTTCACAAATCATGCATTACGCCTAAATCACGAATCCGTACATTTTGCTGCATACTCTTACATCCATTTTCTACATTAGTTGCTCTGTTTCCCGTTATGCTAAAAGAAAGAAATGCATATTTTATGAAATGGATATATAAGAATTACTGAAAAGAAGATATAATTCCTTTTAACTTCAAATATGTGCTAAGTCTCTATAGGTACTTTTTCAATAACTTTTTTTCAGATTTATTGTTTTGGGGAGAGGCTGACGATGTTAAGTTATAATACTAAAATATTAGCATATACACCATATGATAGTAGTCGTTATGCACGGTTTTGTACTTTTAAAGTTTTGGACTGATGCTGATAAAAAGTTAAGTTTCAATTGCTCAAATATTAAACTATACAGCACATAATGGTAGTTATGATAGTTATTTGTGCTACGCTACTGCTTTGCATTGGGTATAATGCTTTGCCTTTGAAATATTAGTATAAAATATTCGATAGGGTTTTCACGAAACTGTTCTCGTAAATTCAAAGTCGGGAAGTTTCTTTATTTCCGTCGCTGCTATCCCGTGACTAATACCTTCTTTCCTTGATAAATTTAATTCTCATGATATTTAGGACTACAGAGGAAGAAATAGAGAATCGATGAATAAAAATTTATTCTCTAGCACAGCTTCTCTGAAAAATGATTTCAGCTTCATCAAAGTGTCGTAATTAAATGTATCAGTTTAGAAAGGAAGAAGAATGCGGAAATTTAACGTTCTTGACCTTATGATCAAAATTAGATCCGGAAGAAGTTTTTAAAAATATCCATAGAAAAGCGGAATAGAAACAGCACCAAAATTGGATTTAAAGAGAAGGAACATTTGCGATGACTCTTAGGAAATGCGAATTAAAAAGTAGATAACTGATTAATTTGACACCAATTGTATATTATACAAGTAAATGGCGGACATGTACCTTGGATAAAACTAGACCCACGTTCCAATAAAGCTGAAGTCAGTACACACAAAACCCTCATATTCATGTAGTTTTACAATGAAACACGTCTCTGCCTTTAATCTAAATAATGAAAATATTTGACTATGAGAAAAAGTACAATGTTCAAAACGACATTTTATCGGGCATCTTGTAAATTTTATTGATTGTACTGCCACATACATTATAACTGTAATATAAATAACTTGGAGCTATATACTCAATAACTATGGCCATGACTTTTTAAGAAACGTTTTAATGAAGTGTTTTGTATATATCCAGTAGCACTTCGCAGTATTTACTTACGTAGTTCACGGACAATATAAATACTCTTATTAATTTTTTAGAATATTTCGAGTATTATCATAATTTCTAAAAAATCTAGAATGAAAAATCTACTTACTTTTACTTGAGTCTAAATCTTCTATCGATGTTACTACATACTGAAAAAAATAATACAACACAAGAATTAGATTAAAGAATAGTTTTCAACATTTTGAATGAACTTTAATAAAGCATTTTTTCTTCATTAAAAGCAATCGTAATTTTACTATTAAATGCCATTATATTTCAACATATTTTGTTCATTTTTAAAATTAAAAATAACTTTGGAAAGATATTAAATATTCTGGAAACCTTAATGAAGTTACATGAAAATCACATACCTTTCCCCCTGTATGCACAGTTATAATTAATTTCCCCGCCGAAATAGCATCTTTGATTCGTTGGTAAGCTTCATCAATATCTGGTTCCCAATGTCGCTCTTTGGTTACTGAAATGATGAACGAAATATAGAGATGTGAAAAATGAATAACCTAAAGATTATTTTGACGTAAAACTTACGATTCACTCAAATTTGGTGAAATTTACTTCATACGTGAATGCGTGTATGTTGGTGGATTCAGCAAACCTTACTACGCAGCTGTCCTATACAAATCAACTAATATTAAACTAGACAGAAAAGAAGCGGATACATTTTCATTAATACTTGCGAAGTATTCTATATCTTTACATTTATGTATACCACCTTAAGCTATATTTTACTTAATATGATGAAAGTTGACAGTTCATTAATTCTTGCATTAATTAACAGGAATGATAAATTTTATCCAAAATATCAGAACACATGTGAGGAGTCAACTTTTTACCTACTACAGAATCAAATATTTATTCATGGTTATTAACTGTAATTTTCTTATATCATGTCGTATTATAACATGACTTTCACAATCAAAAACACTTTCTGCACAATTCAGAACACTTATTAGATGTAAGAGAACTTTAAATAGCTGTATTAAATGTAACTATTCTCGAATACTAAGGATATATTCTCTGAATCCAAAAGAGGAAAGTTTATTTTTAACTTAACGTATTTTTTTAAACAAAAATTACATCGTTGAAAAAAAAATACTTTCTTAGATAAAAAAATGCAATACATGGCCAAATTTTGCTCTGTATTTTTGAGAACGTTAAACAGGAAAATTATTTTTTATTTTGCCTAAATAAGCGTTTCATACTTATTTAAACTAATGATGGGCAAACCTCTTTGCAAGCGGGCTAAGAAACAGAAGAAAGAATATTTAGAGGGACAAATAAAATTTATTTTTAAACTTTAAAAAGAGTATATAAATATTTATGGGATGAATAAAATTCCAAATGCGTTATTAAAAGTTCCTTAAATTCAGATTTGCACTACGATATACTAATTCTGGGAAGTGATCCTAAATTTTCACATGACAGTTTATTTCTAACATAATTCTTCTCAAGTTTCTTGCAGAAAACACTTGTTTACATATATATTAAAATGAAGCAAACCTAGCAAAACCTCAAATCTTTTCTGGGCGTGAGATCTTTACCGCTTTAGATGATTATTAGATTGTAATTCGATTAATTCAAATTACAAATCCGACCTCACTGCTTCACAATTACTTTGAAAACCATGGTGAAACTCTCCATGACACTGAAATCTTGAAATTTGGGCTCAAACTCAAAAACTTAGTTTTCTCTGGTCACATTTATAATTCTTAAGCTTATCTTATTGCTTACGATATTGAATTTAATTTTAAATGAGACAAGATGTATTTAGCTAGCTGCCCAGCAAATAGATCACATTTTAGTTTAAAACCTTTGAGATCAGCTGGGATATCATCAATAAATAGATCTTTCCCTTTCGTATTGACATTTCTTACGTTTATATAACAAAAAATATCGGTGAAAATTGCAAAGTCCAAAAGCCATGTTGTATCTTCTAACATTTTACAAGAACATTGTTTCTCATGGAAGAATGACACAATGTCGTCTTTCAGCTGCTAAACTTCCTTGAAAACACATCCTGCGCTATACCGTCCTATTTTCGTCTAATGCAGCGCATCAGAGTAATCATATTATATGGACTGAAGGAAATATCGAAACTGCCTGTGAGTAAGTCCATTAGATTGAATAGTATTTACAAGCTTGAAGACTACATAAGCTTGATGACAAGTTTCATATATTCAGTTCAGATTTACACAGGCCATTTTGAAAATCACTAATATTTCCACGTTCAGTGGGTGGGAAGAGAATTTTTAGTCATTTAGGAACATTATCAGGTTGTCAATAAATATCGCTTCTAAGAAATTTTCAAAAGGACATTTAATTCTTATTATACTTGCTCGTACAACAACAGAAAAGCACTGGGCGCAGCTTAAAATGCGTACTGTAAATGTCAATAAAATGAGATAACAAAGCTCTTCTACATGAACTCGTTCGTTTTCCTCTCCAGTCAGATGACATCTTTTTCTGTTTCGGCACTACACAATATAATATTATGCATTGCATATAAAAATATTTAATATATAATATTATTATATTGCATAGTAATATCGTAAATATATACAAATATAACATAATTTTTTAATTTCCGCGGCTGGCCCGTGGGTGGTAGTTTGCCCATCCCTTACTTAATAAAAACAATGAAATCAGTATTTACTTGCACAAGCGCATAATCGTGGGTCTTTTTTAAGCATGTGAAAGCAAAAAAAGTTTTTTTTTTATTTGAATAAAACAAAATTCTGATCCTTATGGTAAAAGCAATGGAATAAATCTGATTTTTAGCCGCAAATGTTTCTTCGATTGCTTTAACCCCAGGAAATTTATGACCAAATTGCTAAATAAAAAGTGGTTACTTTTTTTTACGTTTAAGCATGTCGTCTCTAGAAGTTTCACTTCAGAATCTCTTCTTAGGAACTTTTTTATTTGAAAGCGACTGCCATTGACAATGGGTTTTCTTTCGCATTTATTCGTAAAAACTTTAAGAAATTCTTCTCTTGCCATAATAAAAGGCATTTTGCTGTTACAAATAACCGTAATAAAAGGACCCTGTTATCATCTCATTTTTTCCTTCGGTCAGTAACAAAAGTACTCGGATTCTTTTCAACTTTAAGGCTATTTTCACACTTATAAATAAGATTCGCTACTTGCTATTTAAAGAATACTTGTAACTCAGTAGTATCGTATAATTATTCTTCGAAACTGGTTTCCTGAAGCCTTTTGAAAGGGGAAAAAAGTTTCATATTTATTCTAAATGTGTAAGGCATATATATTGAAGAGACCACAGTTCTCCAATAATCATAATTCTCAATTAATAGTTTTCATGATTATCATAAACGTAAATATAAAGAGCTGATCAAAATATAAAGGGCTAGTCCTACAGTTAATCAACGCTCCGTTTATCACAAGTATAATCACGGTTCAAAGCCTATTTGCATATTTTTCTGCAAAAATCTTAGTTTAATTCATTAAAATTTTTTAATGAAATGTACTGAATTCCTCAGTATTACGAACATTCTAAATGTTCAGCGTATAATGTAAGTGATTAAAGAGTCGTCATCAAGTCAAATGCTGGTTTATAAGAAAAAAGTGCACTAAGTTTCCCACAAATAGATCTTAAATTCAGTCCTTTATGTTACCTGATATTTATAACCAGGCATAATTATTAAATTCCTAAGCAGTTCTACAATTTGTTTATTCAAATTTCTCAGTCCTTTTTTCATTATTCTAAATGATATAATAATTATTAATTAACATATTGCAACGTTTCTCAAATTTTTTCAAGTGGGGACCACTTTCATAAATTACAAAGTTCTGCGGACCATTTTAGTCTCGTTCACTTCGAAAGCAATTTTTTAGTGTATGTTACTACGAATATACTTATACATTTAAAATAAAATTAATTAAAATTCATTTAATTTTTTATTGCTTTAAGTAATTAAATTAATAGAAAAATGTGTATTTATTTTTTATAACTGAAAGCTATTAGAGTTTAAATAACCTTATTAAATAAAAATGACACAAATTAAACGTTGATACGCACATTAATAAAGTTGTTGAGCCTACCGATTCTTTCATAGTTTTTCTCTCTTTGGATGTTTGCTGGTACGAAGCACAGTCATAGTACTTTAAATCCCTCTTTTGTTCTTAAGGCTAAAGTAGGAAGTTCGTAGGTAGGCTAACGAGTAATAAATTTCATAAAATCTCAGTCTTGGGAGAAAAATTGATAGATGGTTGCCATGCGTAATTTCCAAACTCTGAGAGTTTCAGCTATAATGTGACATGCGCAGTTTATAAATCTAGGCAGACCACAAGGGCAAGTTTCAAAGACTACAGACTGAGGAACACTGACATATTACATGTCGTAGAAAAGAATGTTTTTACTTACGTTTTGTTGCAGACTTGTCTAATAACCATCCTCTAAATTCTGTGATATTTACTCCGTCAAATACACCCTATAAATAAAAAATATGTGTTGGTTTACTTCTTATTGAAAGAAAATTTAATAAGCAACTAATTTTTTTAATCATTTAGAAAACCAGGAGTGTAGTATCGGCAGTCTCAGAATTTATCCGGACGACCAGACATTAGCAGTACAAAATCCTGAGATATAAAAATTGGCGCTGAAACTTTTTTAATGGATCATATGGAGGAACGAGTAAGGACACATGCAGAATAAATAATTTCCCTTAAACTAGATACTCATTTAACATTTTTAAGCTACAGAAAACTTATCGTTTTAGCTTAAAGTCTATCAAACAAAGAAATCCAAACAAAGCTAAAAAAAAACTAAAAGTTTTTTTTTTTTTTTGCAACTAAAACTATAACAATTTAACAGTCATTTCTGGCAGAATCTGGAGATGCAAAAAATGTAGATGTGCGCAACACTAACTCTGAATTAATTGCTTTCAACCTAGCTCCTAACTCTACGTGATTCTGAAACATAACTACTAGCAAACTTAGAAAACATTCGCAAACGTAGATTACAGGTGAGTAAGAACATGAGAACAACAGCGTCGCTGGTAGCATTACCATACTCTCTAATCCCCTATTTCGTTCGCTATTTGTATCCCACTTAATTTGCATTTCTGGTGAGGCTAGCGGAAGTAAGAGAAATACAAGACATATTTAAAATAAAAATAGCGTGTTAATTAAAATAAGCCTTACGAACTGTAATTCATCAACTTCAAACTTATAATTAAAGGCAGAGCTGATAAGACAAATGAATATTATTAATTGTACCAGGGTTCGTGCCCAGGCGAACGGGCTAATTCCGTGATTTTTTGTTATACATAAATATGAGTACGAATTAATTTCTCTTAGACATACAATAAATAGGATCGTTTTCTCTAGGAAACAAAATTCTCCACAAAAGGAATACCTTCTGTTAGATAAATAACCCTTGTGCGTATTACCTTGATCGATTAACAAATTTACTTTTTCATTTTGATCTGGCAGATTGCTTTTGACTTAACTCTCCAAAATATTCAGTAATACTAAACCAGCAGTGGAAGAGACTGTTAGAAATGTTAGTGCTTTTCCTGAAGATTAAACACACCTGGTATCATGGCCTTCAAATTGTTACATGAGGTATAAATGTTTTTACGTATTTGGAGACCGAATTCTAACTTCATTCTAATAAAAGTAACAGACTATAATTTACTTTAATGTAATAACAGAGTATCATTAATAGCCTTTAATATTAGTAATTAATATATTTTATAGTGACTAAATTTTGCTTACCACTATGTGTATGTAACTGTATGTAACTTTTAGGACTTACCTGTGATGACACCCTTAACAATTAATTTCAGAGAAAAAATTTTTTTTCTTGGATAGCTTTAATTGGGATCCATTATATAATTTTTATTCACACACTATTTCAGTCTGCATTTCAGAAGAAGGTTTAAAATAAAAATTTTCATAAGAATTTAAAAACTTACATATCTCGTGTAATTAACAGGACGATTCACTCCTTCTTGAGGGATTTAACAGAGCATAGAAGTTAACATAAATAATTGAAATATGCGATTCACAGGGCAAAGTTCTGTTGCAACTTTTTTCTCATGCCTTTTAATCATGCTATCAAACATGGCTAGTATACGGCTGAGCCGATCCAAGTAAATCTAAGAGTTGGGACAGCTGGTTCGAAGACGGTTAGTGGTCTCTCCCAAAAGTTCTCTTTAAAGAATTCTGCTCTTATATACGTTTACTAATTTGTATCCTGGTGGAAGCCGATGAAAGCGAGTATAAAGATAAAATAATAGGATAATGGGCAAAAAGCCGTAAAACCTACACTCTTAGGATTTATCAGTAAACAACATTTCCGTTCAACAGCGAAATCCTTCTCGAAGTATGCGTAATTTGAGGATATTCTTAGCACATTCCCTAGAGTAGAGAAAAAAAAATGTTATATATGCATTCCGCTGTTCATGCATCTCTTCATTCATTCTTTGTGTGTACACGAACATCCGTTACAGGGCCGGTTTACAAGTCTTCGAAACACCAGCAGATGCGGGCGGCCCCGTCTTCGAGAAAAGGTGCCGCAAGATTCTTTTGCATTAGATTATTTTTCGTACATTCAAAGCAAATTTGGTCAATCTGTATCGCAAATTATATTGCGGCTTTGTGAAAAAATGGAAGGTGAAAGGCTAAGACCACTATATAACAAGTATTAGTAAAAATTAATAAAAATAATTGTAATTTCTCTTTGAAACAATAGTTTGAATTACTGAAATCAAATTGTTAATCACAGTTATGATAACTTGGCTATTGCCAATTCTCTTTTGGGTAGACGTTCAGTAACAACTGCTGTCCATTCTTTAGGTCTGAAATACGCAAATAGGACTTAATTGGAAGAACAAGAGAGAGTCTGAGTTACTGCCAGTGGAGTAAATAGGTATATGCAAATCATGCTGGTGTACTGGGGACTCGAAGCCTTAGGGGGCTCTTAAGTTTCTTAACTCCTTCCTAGTGAAGAACTTATCTCATTATGGTTACAAAGTAAATGTTTTCAATGTCCTGAGGAAACATATGTAATGTCGACCAGATCAGTGCTCCACTCGAGATAAAATTCATTTCACGTGTGCTTCATTTTGTTAGATATGATTAAAAAGCGAACGAACGCTTTCGGAACGCACGAATTTTGTGCTTTAGCTCATGACATGATCTGCTAGGGAGTAACATTATAATTTAGCGAATTTTGCACGCATATATGGAACTTTATATTTAACTAAAGTTTCATACCTTTACATGGAACTTTAAGTGGAATGAATATTTCATTATTTAGAAATTTGGTTCGATAGAAGCTATATGAAGTTCAATAGAAACTATGTAAGTTATATTTTATTAATTACAGAATTTATCCCATTTACTACGCAAAAGTTCTTTTCATAAAATTACATGCTTACTTTGAGAATTTTTTTAATATGTTGCATATTGCGTCTAGAATTAATATTTAAGGAAATATGCCATCAGAGACCTTTATCGAGCACGCTTCATTATAAGTAATCAAATTAAAATAACTTTCCCTTTTATTCAAATCTTGTGGCGAAACTCTCCACCGAATTGGTTGCATGGGCGTTTTCGAAACAAAGTGCGATACTCTCTGTTTTCAAGATTGCCTGTTTTCAAAAGAGTAATCTGTGAAAAACATTTTTAGAAGAACTGGCTACTTATGTAAAGAACAGACATACGTGTATTCAAATATTTTCACCTGAAATCGACACCAGAATGTAACTAAGAATTTTCAGAAGATTCGGTTAGTTCCTCAGCCAACGGATGTTATTTTAGTACCTGTCTGCAAATTAAATGAATTGAAAACGAAGAGCGTATTAATTTCAATCTTCCCTACATTAATTTTATAGAGTTTTGTTACTATTAGGCTTTGAAGTTCATATGGGCGAAAAAAATTGATGTCCAAGAATTAAAAATAATTATGCAGAAATAAAAGAAAGAAAACGCAAATTAGTCATCTATAATATTACTTTAATTATCAAAAAGTAAAAAACACAGAAAAAAAGAGAAGTCGAATATGTCGAAACATATTGATAATGGATACATTTTTATAGTTTTAAACAGAAATTTACAAGTCAGATTTTATCCTTAAGCTTCCATTTCTACTTACCCGTTTTTTCTTGAAAATATTTATATTTCATTGCTTTATTTCTAAAATACCACTTAGTGGAAATGATGGAATTATGTTTTTTGGCAGGTGATATGCTTTCTAGTACAGTGTTCTCAAGTTTAATTTACCGCATATAGAGTTTAGAAGTTTCTTCCGTAGAAAGATTTTACAACTGTGTTTGTGTGCAATGCTGTATCTACGAACCGATGTTTTTAGATGTAGAATATTTTTCCAATATATATGAATTGAATTTCGGACTGGAAACTATATATCATTATTTATGTGAACATATAAATGTATCTTTTCATTCTGAATTTCAAGTGACCACTATTTTTCTTTGCAAAACGTTTTTGTTGTATGTGAATTCTGTTCGTGTTATCAGTGAAAGAGTAAAGAGAAAGATAACTTGGAAGAAAATACATCGCTAGGAAAGAAAATTAATTGAATGTTCAAAGGAAATGCAAGTCAGCAGTATGATTGTGAATAAAAATATAATAAAACATGAAATATAGCGAACAAAATTTCGTATCTGGTAAAAAATTTTCAATTTTAGAAAGCAAAGCCTGAACAGAAGATAGTGAAACAGAACTTGTAAATATAACACGAGTCATTGGGATAAAACGCTCATTAAGTGAAAATGTAAACATGGGGAAAACAGATAAAAGAGAAGCAACTTTAGAGTTAGTCGCATGCACTATACGAAATATATTACGTAGGTGTGCACAATTTCTGTTTTTGAAATAAAATTATTAGTGGTAATCAATTATATAATGGTATAGAGAAATCTTTCCTAGAAAATATAGTTTAAAGGGGATCCCCTCGGAGACCTACAAATCTCAACTTGCAAGAGACCACGAAATTACTTAAACTGGCCCTGCAATTACTTAAACCGGCCAGGTATCAGTATATTATGTACTATGAGTATAAATAAATTACATAATTTACAAAGATTATTCTTATGGTATTATTTTAAATTAGCTTAATTATTAAATAGCTTATTATTAATATAAAATGAAATCAATACAGTTTAAAGTTTTATTCACAGAAAATAAATCTTCCACAACAATATAAACTTACTTTTAAGCAACTAATGCTAACATATTTAACAAAATTAGCCTAACTATAAAATGGCCTCGTATATCAGATAACTCTACATTCTTGAAGATCAAAAAAGATCTAAAATGTAAGAGGATCGGATTGGACTATTTAATTTTTATAAAGCGTATGAGCGCCGTATACCTAAGCCTGACAACAGTTTTAAAGAGCAGAGATACATAGAAGATTTTTGAATCTGATATTTCGGAGGAGTGTTGTGGTTACGTAATATAACTGAAAAACCTTCGAGTAAAATTAAACAAATACTCATGTTTACATTAAATGAAGAAATTTAGGGGTAAATGGTTAAATATTATCGCAAACCTTAACATCCCTACTCTTCATATAAGACGAGTTTGATTTTCAAAAGAGCATAGAAAATGCATCGTCTTAGGCTTAGATCTATTAGAATATTTCTGATATCTTTTGATTATAATTCAAAAGTAATGAATAAATAAAGATTTACTTACAGTAAGCTCACTGATTCTGATGACACAGACTCCAGAAACATTGACTAACTTCATATACAGAAGTTCTAATACTTCCTCATAAGAGTGGCCCCCTTTCACAATAGCAGGACCTAAAGACATCATATACTTCTTCATAAAAAATTCTTTTACAGTATTCGTAAACTGCTTTCCTAAACAGCCTTATCTGATTTATATATATTTATATTGAGAGAAAATTTCACATAAATGTTGTTGTTAGTACTTATGTTCACTTGTCTGACAGTAAGATCAGCCCAAGCCCACGAAATTCCTCGTGGCAAGGAGCGCAAAATATGCCTGCCGTTGGCAACAGCTTTGAGGACCTAACAGGTAACAGGTGACAATTCCGCTTCCAATTTTGATGGAGAGCACCCCGGAGGAACGAGTCTGAGGGTCTCCCACTAAACCTTTGGCACGTCAGTCAGCGACGCTAACCACTACCGGTTGGGAGGTTCACATAAATGTTCACATGTTTATATAAAATGTTAAAATTAATTTTAAATTTCAATAGTTACGTTTCATACTACTATGTTCCTTTATTTAATATCTTAATTTTGATGTACTCCCTAATTGCATCCCAATATTAATTAAAACGTGTATTAAAATTTAAAACATTATTCAGTACTTTTACTATAAATATTCCCATTTTGAAAGATTAAGTATAAAAAATATGTATTTTTAATTGATCAGTTTTTTCCTTTCCATTTTTCCAAATATGGTTTAGGTATGGTTTCGTGCCAAATGTACAGTCATCAAATAATGTTTGAACTAAAATATGAGCTCGAAATTCGTAATACATGTATTTTTTTCGCTAACTTCACGTCTACGTCTTTATTAATATTTTATTTTGAAATGAAGTATACTTATTGATTAATCAAATTTAACAGAAGATCTAATGGTGAAAAAAATCAAATAACTTTAACTTCAGTAGACTATTTAATAGTAACAATCAAATTTCGATAATAATAAGAAGCAAATATTTTACATAATTGTAAAAAGTATATAAAAACTTGACTACAAATGAAATATTTCCACATCTAAGTGATATATTTTAGTACAAATTCTTCTCTTGTTCAAGGCAAGAAATTATGTTTCTCTAAGTGAAAATTAATTAAGTCTTTTCTTGCTTTTTAAAGTTTTAAAAGTAAACAGTTACATATTTTCTTCTATGATACACTTGGTAAAGCATTCTTATGTTATTTACACCTAAATTTCGTTTTCATCTTTCAATCTCAATCAAGTTCATTAGAACTTTCATAGCAACTGCATTTTATAATTTATTGTATTCTATAATATTGTATAATATAATTTATTGTATTCTATAGCAAGCTTGTTTTCTTCTCACATCTAAAGTTAATAAATATTAAGTTATTATTAAGTTATTTGTGAAGTTTTATTTCTAATTATTGTTAAAACATTTCTTCGCTAAATTCAAGTACAGGTTATCTCATTTCAATGATAATTAGTAACGAAAACATATCACTATTTCTTTTAGTAAAAATTCAATTTTTTTGCTTGATTTCAAAGCTATTAATAATAATGCGCAATATAACCTTTTATTTATTACTTGAAGGTTAGTGCAAGGTCCTCATTTTGAAACTATTTCAAAATTACCGTTACACATATAATATAATTAAAAATCTTAATTGCTGTTTACTAGGAAAATTTGCCTCTGAGTGATAGATAAAATTACAGTTTTATATGATGAATAGAATTATTACTCATTACAATGTCAGCTGCGTTTAATTGGCCAAAGAACAACCATTTGGCATGACAATGACAAGGTTAGTTTGGTATCATCAAATTTAATTAAAATCATTAAGTTAAAATGAAATAAATTATACATTGGAGAATATCTTAAATTATAGAAAACTAATGCATTCATTGAATGAATTACCTTCAATTTTAAGAGCAAAACCTTTCTTGTGATCTTTCTTGTAACAAGATGCTACATCGAATGCTTCCCAATTTTTTGGCTGAGATCGGAAATTGTTGATAGACAAATAGGTCAAGGATGAGAGCTGAAATATAATACAAAAACTAATTATTTCTTAAGGAAGTATTCATTATGCCAATGGAGGTAAACCATTTTGCAATTAAACTTCAATAATACTCATACCATCAGAATCAATAAGTATTAATATTAAATTTACAGAATATTAAATTAATTGAAGTTAGACATTTTTAATATAAAGTCTTTATAATTTGAAGCAATAATCACCCATTTTGACATCTTTTATATATATATCCTTAATTGGATCAGACAGGGAAAGAATTGTTGCGTATGATTCCTTCGTATTCAACTCGTTTAAAATCTTGCGCTCTACTTTGAAACTATCATTTTTTAAATTGGTTTCAATACAAACAAATGATAGATGGCATAAATATATTCATAATTTTATGCTAAAAACGTAAAATCTGAAAGGTTTCAGATTTTAAATTTCGTCCAAAGGGGCGTTTTTTAAACATTTTGTGTGTTACCTTTATTTATTAAATATCATGTTCCTTGCACTTAAACCAAAAAATTCAGTTCAAGAGCAATATCGCAAAATAATTTTAAACTGAGCATATCTTTAGAATTTCTGATACACAGTCTCACGCGCTGGAGATAAATTTTTTTTTCTGTACATCGTTGCCATTGCTCGCTTTGAAATCCTTGAGTTTGTTAATCAAAAATTCGTTAAAGGTTTTCAAAATATGAAATCAATAATGAAACAAATTCCAAATTTCAGGTTTGGGCTTCCAGATGCCCATATTCGCAGTAGGATCACGTCATTCAAAATTGGATGGCTCTAGATACCGTTGTTTTATCACAATGCTAGAAACATATATACATTTATGCATATTCTTCGTTATTTAATTTATTTAAATATAATACAAGATGATAACATTTGGCGGCAACACTTTGAAAAGTGAAACGGACATTCAGAGTGATTCGACGCAAAATCGCAAAACGAAAACAATAGTCCCTCAGGAACAAAGCCCCTTTGGACTAATAATATCAATTTTACAAATTGAGCTACTACTGCATGATTCAGCAACAAGTGTTAGCCAGCAAAAGATTAAATATTACAAAAGGAGTACTTATATACTTAGCGTTCGAAATTGCTAATTCCGTTCGAAGACGGCGTCTTTTCTACTTGCAGTTTTATGAAGGTTTTATGAAGGATAATCAGAATTATTATTACATACAGATTTAAGATGGCTAAGTAGAAATAATGTCCTGAGGTTTTATTTCGTGATCTATAAACTAACATAAAATCTCGAAGAACAAGATAATAAATGTAGAAATTTAAGTGATTAAACTTTTTTCAGTGATTCAGCGTTTCTTGCAGATTTGACATTGAAACTGAAGAGTTTAGAATTGCAAGTAAATAACAAGATAATAACTGAAATGACCTTTGGCTTTAATACACACAAAACAAAATTTATTATACTATCAGGAAATCTTCAAAAAATTTAAAACGCCTTCGAAATATGTCCGATTATCCATAGAAACATCAAAATTGCAAATATAACTTTGAAAAATATGTTACAAAAAGTTGGTTGAAGACACTGATATTAGAATTCATTACTTTGAAAACCTTATTGTGCAATATCTGCTTTTCTTTTAAAAAGTATTTAAATTTAAACCATATTGCTGTAAACAGTTTTGACACATTTAATACTGAAAACAAGAAAAATGGAATTATAAATCTAAAAACTAATCTAATCTTACAATCCGAAGAATTAGAGGAAGAGCTTTGGAAAAACGTCAGTAGAAAAAAGTATCTAATATCACCAAATGTACAGAGTACATCTACTTTTTGGGGGGATCTACATACTTATGTGAACGAGGTCCAAACTTCTAACAGACTTAGAGCGAATTATTGTTGTGTCTGAAAAGAGCTGCAAAGTCTTAAGAAGGTTTCAAAACAGACCTTTTTAACTAAATCAAATCTGGAGCATAAATGCACGTCTGGTGTTTGACAACTTAGCCAACCAATTGTGGGGATGTAATTTAAAAATAATAGTAAATTCAAAATTTAAACTTAAGTCTAGTAGTCAAAGACTACACAATTTATTTAACGCGAAGTGGTTCAAAAACTACTCGCCGGCGTAACAATTTCAATGCTGGCCACTATAACGCAACGCAGAAGAATTACAATCTTACCAGAACTAGAGAAACTTAGTAGTGTGGCCTCTAAAAGCAGAAACACGCTCTATCTTACAATCCAGAAACTTCAGCTTAAATACTTTCAAGTAAATTTATATTCTGGTAGGGAACCGGAAAGGAAAAGTGACGGTAAAGATCTAAGTAAAATAACTGGTTATGTAAAATAAGAATAACTCTACAACTTCACGAAGATTAAATATGGTTCCTCCTTATTGAATCAAAAACTGAAGATTCATCATCACCTTTGCCTGAATGTACATCAAATTATGAACACTTAATTGGGGACACACAAATTTCCCATAACTGATAAAATAAAATTTAATCTGTATTTTATAAGGTTATTTTTCAATTAATAAACATTATTTATAAAACATGTTGATTTTATACACCCTTTCCCAATGCCACTTATTGGTACAAAAGATCCAAGTTCCGGTGAGTTAATTGTTAAGATTTTAATATGTAAATCTCGACACATCTTAAAAAAAGTTGATCATGCTATATGCACAGAAGTTAACCATATATAGCATTCCTGCAACTTTATCCTAGAACAACAGTGGGCGATTCACCATGTTAATGTGGAGCTTACAAATACTATTAATAAAAAGAAAAAATATTTAAAACTACCAAGCATTGTTTAATTCTCTTTTCACTCACCTGGTAAACACTTACATCCGCTGTCATCTCATAGGTATAAATAACAGCATTCGCTATGATGATTTCAGACTCTTCAACTGCTTCTTCTTCTTTTGGAATATTCTGTAAGTTAAGCATATATAAAGTATATTAATTACCATATTACGCTTATCGTCAATCGCTAATTTACATTTTTCTCCCAGATACACAGAAACAAGATATTTTAACTGGATTAACATCTATTGTGAAGCGGTAAGGGAAGAATTTTCGCGAATTTAAGGGGAATTTTTAAGATTTCACGAACAAGAACTTTTACTCAAATGTCGAATAAATCCATGTACTTTAAATTTTTTCCCATTATCTTATAATTTCTATTAAGATTGTTTTTGTAATTAAATAATTTTATGTTATTTTCTTCGGAATTTTCTTAAAATACAAAGTAAATCTATTTCAGAATCAATCTACAAAAGTGAACTTTGAAAAATTTTAAATTTTGCTAGATTTCTAAAATACGAGGAAAGATTGTTTCCCGAAGTATACTCATGATCAATGAAATTAGAGCAGATCGAAGAAACTGTGATACAACGCCGAAATTAGGCAAATGGATAAGACGCATGTTGGTACTCAATGGATCTAAATTTGATGCGAATGCGCATTCTAACTCACCAGGTTGTTCTCGGTGCCTTACCAGTTGCCGAGTAGTTAAAGCCTCTAAATTCGACCTGGATTGCGTTCAAACGCTGGCGAATGAGCTGTCTGCAGTGTTGGTGTTTGTGGGTTTCCCCATGTATAACGTAAATACAAGCCAATTTCCCTTAAAGAGTAGTCAACGAAGCTATCCCTTTTCTTAGGCAGATATCTCTCTTGCCTCGAACAACCTAACCCAGGGTTTCTTAAACTGTGGATCGCGAATCCCAAGCGGTTAGCGGGGCCTGCAGCAGGGGGTCGCCAAAAGTTTTAGCATTTTTTATATTTCTTTAACTTTTATAATAATTTTACAATTACCAAATATTTTTACACAATGTATCTGAAAATCGATAAAGATAAGACAATAAAGACAAAGAAAAAACGAAAACGTTTCGACGCATTCCTTTTAAATTATAAATGTTCATTTTCCTTGTTTTGCACGTGACGCTGTCATTTCGTCTGTTACTTATTTCAAATTTTCACATTGTTTTATGTCTTAAAATTAGAAATTTAAAGTTAATGACCTAAACCTAAGTACCAGTGAAAACACTGACAGTTTCCTTCACGCGTGTGTCAGATTTACGCAATACTTATGGGGTCCCACAAAATTTTTGAAAATATCATGGGATCCTGGGATCGCGAAAAAAATCTTAGTGATAAAAAGGGGTCACGAATGAAAACAGTTTAAGAGACCCTGATCTAACCTAACACAGTAGTTCTGGAATCGTGATCTGTCGGAATCTTGCTGATTCCGTATGAAAGCAAAAAAGATTATCAGTTCTTGCAAATATGCATATGGAAGAAGAATTGTGTCGCTTATACACCAGAAAATATGACTTATGCAGTTGATAGACTTCCAAGCAGATCTTTTCAACGGAATGAAAATCGCGGGCTGTTAATGCGCGCCGTATAAATCCGCCATATGGATTATTCGAACAAATACCATTATACTGTGTTGGCAACAATAGACATGACAAGGGATGTATATGGAAGACCGATTCAAGAGGTCCAAGGCAAACTGCCTGTAAATAAATCGAAAAATCGTTCACTAAGCACATGCAGACCCTACGCATTATACGGACAGCTGCAGCGGCTCAAAGGCGAATGGAAAACGATTGCGATTCAAGAAGCGAACAAATGATCCCTTCACACTTACGTACTCTTCCTTTAACATCGGAATATAAAGTGGCTCCGCTTCCAATGGTACCAAACTGGAGCAGCATTAATGCCATGAAATGGCGATCCATTAGCGAGGAATGATCAGCAAAGAATCATACTTCGTTTTGGGTGAATTAGTACTCAGATGTGAAGGTTCTCTACCCGGCGTCACTATAGAGGAAGGTAAGAAGGAAGGGTTATTCCGACTACAGGGGAGGAAAATCGCTCTTTTTTGAGCACAGAATCGTTTCCTTATTGAAATAAAGCGCTTTTTTTACGATTCACTGCTCACTAAAATAATCTTGATGAATAATTTCGGAAATGAGCAATCAATCAATAGCGGTGATTAAGGGAGGATGAAGGAGCATTGAATCAAGAGCGAGGATGAAGCGAATGGAAGAAACGTGGGATCGAGAGATAGACTCAGTGGAATCTCTGGATTAATTTCTTTCAACTGTAGCGTTGAAGATTCCCTAAAACCTTCTTTCTATACAAAACTAGCAATAATTTTCCGAAATAAAAGTCTGTTAAAGAAGTTAATAAACTATAAAAATTTTAAATTACTTTGAACATGGGAAAAGTGTTATCCATTTTCTTTCCTTAAATAGGAATCAAATTTCCTGGCACGTTTCCAACAAGATCTCTTAAAGCAGCTACCGCTCTGTTTCGTCGAATCTTTGTTCTTTCGCCCAGGTTTAATTCGGAAGCGAATCGCCCATTTCTATTTCCTACCTCTATGAGCGATACAGTCCTATCTTCGCTGTCTAGCAGCACATAAAGCACCCACTACCTCTCAGAGCTGACGAATAATTTCGATGCCAAAATATGTAGTATATTATTTTAATTGAAAGTTGGTTTTTTCATTATTGTTTCGCAGCCGATACACATACTTCTTTCCCCAAGATGTTAGTATAATACCTCGAAATTATATCTGCTAATATTATTTATATATATTACTTATAGATTATACTTTTCATGAAAAAATTACCAGTAAAATCTTTATAAAAAATGATTTATTATGGCCTTTGTTAGTTAACTATATCGGTTTAAAATTCTATTAATTGCTATAAGTTGCATTAATTTGCTATGCTTAAGTTTCCTTCTTACTTTTTCAGAAAAAATTTATTAATTAATAAAAAAATGTGAAAGTAAAAATTATACTTCTTTCCATTTTGCGCTCACAAATCATCATGGGAGTATCCATTTAGCTTAAATGCTTAAATGGTGTCCGCCGATAACATCGCGGCAAAAACATCGCGGACGAAAATGTCGCGGAGAAAACAACGCAAGGCGAAAACATCGTGCTACAAAATATCGTGGGAGAAAACATCGCAAAGAGAAAACATCGCAGTCCTAAAACATCGTGGTACAAAACATCGTCGTCGAAAATAAAGCGGTTCAAAAACTTCGCAGTTTAAAAACATCGTCGTCAAAAATATCGTAGTAAAAAATAAAGTATCTACAAATCATCGCATGACGATAACATCGCAGACATGCTTTTTCCATACATGCTTTAATAACTGTAAATGAATATTCCCATAAAGATTTGTGAGCGCAAAATGTAAAGAAGGATAATTTTTACTTTCACATTTTTTATTAACTAATAATTTTTTTCTGAAAAAGTAAGAAGGAAACTTAAGCATAGAAAATTAAATGCAACTTATAGATTATACTTTTCATGAAAAATTACCAGTAAAATCTTTATAAAAAATGATTTATTAATGGCCTTTGTTAGTTAACTATATCGGTTTAAAATTCTATTAATTGCTATAAGTTGCATTAATTTGCTATGCTTAAGTTTCCTTCTTACTTTTTCAGAAAAAATTTATTAATTAATAAAAAAATGTGAAAGTAAAAATTATACTTCTTTCCATTTTGCGCTCACAAATCATCATGGGAGTATCCATTTACAATTATTAACGCATGTTTGCGAAAAGCATGTATGAAAAAAGCATGTCTGCGATGTTATCGTCATGCGATGATTTGTAGATACTTTATTTTTTACCACGATATTTTCGACGACGATGTTTTTAAATTGCGAAGTTTTTGAACCGCTTTATTTTCGACGACGATGTTTTGTACCACGATGTTTTAGGACTGCGATGTTTTCTCTTTGCGATGTTTTCTCCCACGATGTTTTGTAGCACGACGTTTTCGCCTTGCGTTGTTTTTTCCGCGACGTTTCCGTCCGCGATGTTTTTGCTGCGATGTTTTCGGCTGTAACCAGCTTAAATCTAAGATTGTAAAATTTTCGAAAATTTACCCAGCCGCCTTGCAGATTTTGCCTTTATATTATTCTTTTCTTAAATATTAAAAATTAACAAAGCAAAAATAAATTAAATTTAAGAATGCTACAATTTTTATAAACGTATCTACCTATTTCGTTTATCAGTGTTTAGTTATTTTTAATAATAAATACTAATTAAATAAAAATAAGTAAATTTAAAATAAATTTAGATATAAACAACAGACAAATCTTTTCCAAATGCAGGCATATTAATCTTCTGTTATTGTTTCAAAATCGTGCGTAAATTCAAACCGTCATTTCTCAGTTATGATACAGAAACTTAAACAAAATTTTACCCTAAACTTACTATGGATTATATTTTCTTCATTTAAAAATTTCTATATGTATTTTTAAGGCTGAATTACAGTGAAAGTAACGTCACAAAAGTACTCTTGTTTGAAATTCCCAAAATTCATGTTTTGAGCACCTAATGCTATTCAAACAGATTACTTTCCAATCGTTAATTCCTCTATTAATGGAATGTAAGGAACTTAATTTGCATTATTGTTTCGGAAGATGAAGAGAATCTATGAAAATATAATTTCATTTTTTCACAAATTTCCAAACTTTCTCTGCTTAGATCGATGCTTTTATCAAAAAAATATTTAAATTCAGCAAAATAACAGAAACACAGTAAAAAAATAGTTTGTTATTAGTTCATAACATTAATTAAAATAACAAGCAATTCATTTCTAATATTGTAATTTTACTGTTTTTATAAATGCTGTATGCTATCCCAGTTTACTAAACCTGAATTTAATTTTTATATATATTACTTTATTTAAAAGAACTCGGGCTCATCATAACTTGTTTATAGGTCCAAGATAACATCGGATTTTGTAATGTTAACTCAACTCTGCAAATTCAGAAATATACTCATGTCCATAAATTAAGGATAATGCAAAATCAGGCAAAGGAAAAGTTAGAAGCAAAACAAATTTGACTTATTTGTAAAGCTTATTTATTAAACAAAAGGTAAAGAGCAAAAACAGATGCTATATGTTTGATATTATTAAAAAAATTAGCGATTTTTTTTCTCCCTGGAGCAAATTACCAAAAAAAAAAAAAAAAAAAAAAAAAACTTATTTACAAAAAAAACCAATATTACATGGTTGGTTTGATTGTTAATACATTGTATGTCTCCCAGACGATGCAATACAGTCCGTACAACGCCTAGGCATCTGAGTATCAAATTATCGATCTGATCTTGGGGGATATTACATCACTCAAAAAGCAATGCACTCCGAAGTTCCGGTAGACATGTAGAAGGAGGTTGACGGGCTGCAACTCGTCGGCCAAGCATGTCCCACACGTGTTTCTACTGGTTCAAGTCTGGTGAGAATGCTGGCCAGTCTGTACGGGTGATATCCTCCGATTGAAGGCATTCGCTTACGATATTTGCACGGTGAGGACTGGCGTTGTCATCCATAAAACAAATTGTGTGCCCATGGCACCCCGAAACAAATGTACATGTTGTTCCAGAATGACGTCCCGATAGATATGGCTTGTCATGATTCCAATTTGAACATGAAGGTCAGTTCTGGAACCCAGAATAATTCCACCCCAAACGAGCACTCCTACACCACCGTAACGGTGTCGTTCAATGATGCTTTCTTGGTGGTAACGAATACCTGGAGCTCTCCATATGAAAGTCCGGCGAGAATCAGACTGCAAAGCTAAACCTGGACTCGTCGGAAAACATCACACAAGCCCACTGTTGCGGTGTCCACAGTGCTGCTCTCTCTACTCCAGGCTAACCGCAGGCGACAGTGAGTTGCAGTAAGTGGAACGCATCTGACAGGTCTACGAACATATAAACCAATCTGCCCTAAGCGTCTGTACACGGTCTGCCTTGAAATTGTCGTACCAGTGGCTGAAGAGAGCTGACGAGGCAGGTCTCAGGCTGTGCTCCACCTGTTTGTTTTGGCAGTAACTGCCAAATACCGGTCCTTATTCGGCGCTGTAACTCTGGGGCGACCTGTGTGCTGTAACGTCTACTCACATTACCATCATCTTGGAATCGTTGCCAAAGCCTGGAGATGACACTCTGGGCAATTCCAAGTTTGTCTGATACTTCCAGTTGGGTACGCCCACATTCCAGACGGCCGATAATTCTACCACGTAAAAAATCATCCAAATGCGTCCTTTGTGTCATAACTATTCGGTTATTGCACTGAAATGCTTATAAAGTGCCTGCGAACAATTTTACTTCTTTGCTTGTATTCCTTATATCTCACTCTCTTACACTCTCGTCATTGTGACGTACCATCGGTGTCATCTGGTTACTTCCTGAAATTTGCATATGATTCTTGAAGATGTGTGTAGTGATTTTACAGGTGATATATTTATTTTAGAGTTCGATTTCCGCGTGACTCCGAATTATTCTTAATTTATGGACATGAGTGTATATGCCGAATTTCGCAGCAGTTTGCGTACTAATAATTATTATAAAAGAAAAGTAATTTGTTTAGAACTGATCTGAAATGTGATAAGGGATTAACTCTAGGACTACGCTATATGATTCTTTAATCAAAATAGTTTTTTTTTTTTTTTTTTTTTTTTTTTTTTTTTTTTTTTTTTACTTAGTAAATTATCTGGCAGAATACCGGTTTCAGATAATGAAAGAAAATTCATTACATTTACCTTTATGAAATAGAATTCTTCAACAATCTTCGCATCCGTTTCCTCATCCATCCTTGAGGATGACCATACAAAATAATCGATACCTTGGACACTTCTCTGCACATATTACAAAACAAAAATTGTTTATTATATATTTACATAAATTCGTTATGAAGCAAATAATATTTGATAACTGCAGAAGTATAAAATACAGCCAAAAGCAGCTACAAATTATTAACCATCTAATTTTCGTTATCATTTAGAACATTTTGTTATGTCACACTTACAAACAAATACTCTTAATTCAAACATAGTCTTCAGATGCTAACAGTACCATTTATTCCGCCTAAATTCAAATTAAAGATACATATTCGGCTTTCTTTCGTATGATTATCGATGCAGCGAAGTGTTTCGATATAATGATCCTTAAGAAATTTCCAATATATTTTCCGTAAGCCTAATGCACTATTTCTTGAATATAATGACCCAGTAGTTGACCCACAATAACCAGAATTGTGTTATTGTGACATTTTGAATGCATCAATTAGATAAAATTTGAACCTTAGCTTAAGAAATGGATGATTGATCTTGTCTTCAATTCACAACAAGCAAATTTAAATGCGATTAACCAAAGTGGCTTTAATTCGAGCAGAAAATAGAAGAAGACGAAACAAAAGTGACAGTCTTAATTATAAAAGGGAAAAAATCTTTCTATTCTTCTAAAAAGAATAAAAGCTATGCTGCTGTTTAGAGGAGTTGAACTTTCCTTTGTTCTAAGTTAAATGCAAAAATAACGGGTAAAGAGTGATGTATTTAAAAAATGTGTTGTAAACTTTTTATTGGTTGAGTGGAAATGTTCATGCTCAGTTTTTAGACGGCAGAAATATGACAGTAAGGATAGTACTGTTGCTTATTTTATGGTCACATGGCATCCCGATGGATAAGTAGAAACAAAATGTGCCATTTTAGAAGCAGACTTCTTTTAGTTGTAACATCTAACTTGGGTTAGTTCTAACTCAGAAAACAAATAGATACAGAAATAAGATAACTTGAAATTTATTCTGCCTCATAACTGTTGAAAATTAAATTAAATTTGCAGAGCACAATTTTATTACTTACGTGGATTTGGCTTAAACACAAAATTGTTTGAACTTGCTAGAAATTCAAACAATTTATCTAATTCTACCGGAAGCTATGAGCTTGCCTAGGTGCCGCGACAGTAAATCAGACTTACAACATTTCAAGCCAGATCTCTTCTTGCACTGTATTAAATTCAAGATCAACGTCGAAGTCGCCAGCACAGAGCGAAACTTCACACGACAAAGCAGCCGTTGCGTGCAGGCCAAAACTCTCACACTATGCGCAGTTTTTAACTTTATATCAAGTCTGCTTGCCGTTCAAATCTACATAAATTCTGGAATGAGCGAACCTTGCTGCAAAATGAGGCAGATAGGAAAGATAAAAATTAAGCAAAATTTAAGTGTAACTTAAACATAAATGCTACAAAGTGATTGTTTTGGTTTACTCGACTACTGCAAAAGACTAGAAGGTTATCTGCCTAACAGAAGGGATGTCTTTGTGAAGGACAATTTAAGCGCCATTAAGTGAAGCAAATTTCCGGTTGATAGGAAAGCTACATTCGTGTTATGTTGTGTCTTTCGGAAACGCGAACATTACATTTATTATATACGTCTGGAATGTGTATTTTTTCTTAGTACAGAAAAAACCTTAGTTTGGATCATTTCGAAATGGTGAACCAAGAATCACTTTGAAATGATATAAAGAACAATACAGACATGTTTTAGAGGAAAATAATTCACAGAGTGCAATTAAGAAGATTTCTGAGAGACTTAAGATTGACAAATTCGTCTGCATTCCATAATTTATCGAAATCTGGATTTCCTTTCAAGCTCGATCCATGAGTACCGCATTGTTTGAACGAAAAAAATACATTCGGCTGTTTCTTATCAGCCATTTTCTGCTCGATGCCATGAGAAAGAGCTATTTGTAGATCAAGCGGTAAAAGAAAACGAAAAATGTGTACAAAATGTGCAAAGAAATAAGAGTTAAAATCAGGTACATGAAATTGAAGAACAAGATAAGAGCTGTCTTTTATTTAATGACGATATTTCTGCCTTTTTGGTAAGATAGCATGGAATTATCATTTCCTTCGAACTTCTGCCATTCAACAAAACAATCACAGCGAACAAGTTGTGTGAACGACTTAACAAAACTCAACATGGAAATAACCCAATGACATTTGGTGTTGGTCACGAATAACGGCATTATCAACCATCAAACAATATCAGGTCTTATGCTGCCCAAATGATACTGTAAAAATTGAAGAAATTAAACAATGAAAATCCTTCAGCAAGTGCATGTTTTTGAGAATTTCCTGTTTAAGGCTTTCATTTGTTTCAATCTCTCCAAAATACTATTTTGAATGGCAAGAAATTTTATTCTGCGAAAAGTGGGAAAAAATATTTGAAAGCGTTTAGATTTTATACCGCACCCAAAGGGGTGGTTTGTTTTCATTACACATAATCACACGTTTCAGGAGCATTTGGGCTAACGCTCCTTTGAGCTAAAAATATTTAAAAACAGCATATCTTTAGAATTTCCGATAGACAGTCTCTCGCGTTGAAGATTAAAATGTTTTATTCCGCACTGTGTTGCCACTGCTTGCTTTGAAATCGTAGAGTTTCTTAATCAAAAATTCGTTAAAGTTTTACAAAATATGAAACAGATAATTAAACAAATTCGAAATTAAAAATTTGGGCTTCCAAGTGCTCATATTCGGACGGAGTACTACGTTATTCAAAACTTGTGGCTATAGGCACCCTTGTTCTTTCGCAGTGCGAGAAACATATATATCTACATTCATGGAGATTCTTCCTTATTTAATTTCTTTAAATATAATATAGGTCGATAAAATTTGGTGGCAACAACTTGAAAAGCGATTCAATGTTTTTGGTGATTCGACGCCGAATCCCGTTTCTAGACTAATAGGCCTTCTGGGTTAACGCCCCTTTTAGCTAAAAAAATAACATTTCAACTTTCTTTGCAGAACAAAATACGCAGTCTCTGCAAAGAAAGAATCTGCAAGTTTATAAATATTTGGAAGAAAATTCTAGGCAATGATGGTTTACTATATCACATATAAAAAAAACTGTTTTCTTTCAAATATGAAAGTTCGTGTTCTATTTTTACATCGAGCATAAAGTTTCTCTAGCATCCAATACATTGTAGAGTCCAGGTGGGTTAACTTCTGTCTGGATACTGGGGTAGCAGGAAACTACACAGAAGAAGGGTTCAAACCCTTTATTAACTCTTTAAAATTTACAATGCGTTAACTCAACGCTAATAAATTTCGCCTCTACTTGGGCGGTAACTGAAAGTCAGATAATTGAAAATTGAAAGTTGAAATGTTTAACAAGTGATAAATTAACCTACAGGGCTCAGTGAGATCCCGAACTTCAACCCCCTTCTACACTAGTGGCAGCAAGGGCAATGCAATTAAGCCACTTGAACCAGCAATAAGCAAACGTACCAACGGCAGTGACGGCAGCTAGAGCTCTCCCTTTTCCCTACCGAAACTCGGCTTTTAACTACTTCCTTCAACATAGAAAATTTCCATGCGTTCACACGCGCTACAACATTTAACTATTCTGGCACTGACAATTAGGGGAATGAAGGCTTATGGGAAAGTTTCAAATAAAACTTTAAAGTATTAGTTAAAATAAATATAAATCCCTGCAACATAATGTCGTCAAAAGAAAAAAATCAATCTCTTAATCTTGATAATTGTACTGCACATCCTCGAGATACAGGGGGAAATTTTAAGTTCTGCAAAAATTAAATTTCGTCTATCAAATATTTTTTAGTTTTACATTTTATGAATGAAACAGAGTTGATAATATTATGGAAATCGAGTGATGAATAAAATTTTCTTTCGGTTGGGAATTAAAATAGCATTTTGACATAAATATGCCAATTGCTGTCAACGTTCTAAAAGCTCTTGAGATGCAATTTTTATGTGGATGATTCACAATGGGTTTCACTACACAGAATTTATGAAGGAAAAATACGATCAAGAAGTTCCTGACAATGAGAAAACAACACAGATCATTTCATCGTTTGCTGATAAAGAATGTAAAATTTTGAAAGGTAAATAAGTTAATCGAATAACAGAAACAAAGCACCATAAACTTTCAGCTCTGTGGATTATATCGCAGAAAAAAAATAATCCATGTATAGCGGATGCACACAAATAAGATTTACTTGCATATTCGCTAAATCCTCGACAAATCGGTGAGAACTGAACGAAAAGAAAGCTATTCTTTCGCTAAAAATATAGAGGAAGAACAGCAGCATCCAGCAATAAGAAGCGTAACAAATGTAATTAATCGGTGTGTTGACATAATTTATTCGCTAAAAATACAAAGGCAGAAGAATAGCATCGCAACTGAAGTGTTTAGATAATTTCTCCAAAAAGAAGAAAATGCAAGTCAATACGAAAAATAAGTAAATACTTACGAAAAATAAGTAAATCAATTATCAGTATACCATTAAAAACAATTATTATTAGTATTAAAGATTTTATTAAAAAATACTGATATTTGCTTAAAGTTATAAGAAATTTATTGTAAATAATTAAAATTCTACACTTGTAAATTGCGACAATAATTTAATTCCTCAATAATTTAATACTGTTTGGGTATGTGTTGAGTAATAAAAGGAAAACGCGTTTAACATTTGTAGCCTAGTGACTAAATATGAGAGATTTTTGCTTCATTTCATTTAACACTAGTTTTTTTAAAAAATGTCCTTGTTTTAAAAAATACGATGTTACGAAACATGAGGCATCGTCTGTCATAAGCCTACGAATCAAAATTTAGTTAGATAAGATTTGAAACTATAGCTTTTGATTTAAATTTGATCTATAAAAATATTCTCTTTTGACTATTATCGGTGGTTTGTCGTCACTCAAATGAAGATTATTGTTTTGAAATTACATATTAAACACGGAATACTATCGCAACAAGGCATTTAGTTTTTTATTATTTTAACTATATTTTCAGAGTCAATCGAATATTACTAACTTTTTATCCAGAAAAAATAAACACTATGACGTAGGACCATTAATTCATTGAAAATACAGTTAACACGTTAATACCATTTTTTATAACTGGAAGCGTCTAATACATTTTATATGAAATTAATCAAATTTTATACCTCCACAAAGTAAGCTTGGAAATTTTAAATCTTAGAACTTACTTTTCCTACAAAGACAGCACTGTTTGAGGTTGAAGATGAATTCTGCACAAAAAATGCCTTTGGCAGCATAGTTATTTCATGTAAAGCCACATCGTCTTCAATAGCACCCATTGTGCAGACGGCTAAGCTGGCTATGATGGTGTATGCTACCCCTGTATATAGAACATTGTGAGTGAATTAAATACAGTAGTTTTGACAGTAGTACAGTAGGTATTTTTGACAAACTACATTTAAAAACTGTTATTAAATGAAGTAATTTTTTATGATTCGACGCAGTTGAAGACATTTAGTGCTTTGTCAAAAATGAAATTACTAAGTTCCTCAGGAGTAACTGAAACTTTTAATATGCTTTTATAATTAAAGTATTCTTAAGAACTGCAGTTCTAAAGTATTTAAAAGTAGTAGAATTTATTTTTGCTATGTCCGCTCGTACTTGCAAATAAACTCTGCATTCAGTACTGAATAAGAGGAACGTTTATATCAAGACTCAAAGGAGATGAAAATTATTATGGAACATCGATATGATGAGATATTATTACTGGATTCTAAATTTGAATCTAATGTACGTATAAAGTAAGACTTAAATTAGTTGGAGCACACCGATATTTCTCAGTCTATAATTAAGATCCCAATTCTCGCCGGAGCCTCAAATAAGAGGATATCCAACATCTTAATTTTACCATTTAACTATTTGTCACCAATTTAATTAAATTTATTAATTTTCATTTATTTCATTGCATTCTATTTAAGTTTATTATTCGTTATTATTTATTTTATTGATTTAGCTTTTCACAGAGACCTTCCGTAGGCCATCAGGAAAGCTCTACGTTTTAGAGATTAAATCCTGGTGTACCAGGTAAGATGCAACTGAAAGAAAGTTAACTTATTTCTAATCAAAAAACCAAGTTTTCAGTACGAATACCTTGCTGCCATTTTCCAGATTTTATACCTAAGTCGTATTAATTTCCGTGTTTTTATTGCTTGCCATGCATAGATAAAGTCCTAAAGTCATATTTCTATAAAATAAATTGTTTGCTGCATGTTCAAAGTAATTTTGATAATGTAAATGCGTATTTCAGAATGTTAAATATTAAAGCCTGACACTGAATTTTCAATATTTTAATGTGGATGTCATTTTGTATCATTTTGTATATTTTAATGTGGATGTCATTTTATTAGATCTAAAAGATGACCTATATATCCAAATAAAGAAGATGTGACTATAGTAAAACAATGCTTTTTATTTCAGTGATGGTCTACTTTGATTCAACATCATCACCACCAATACCTGTTTTCGTAAGTACATATGTATCAAATCTAAAGTAGTTATGTGCCAGATAATATAAAATCATATAATTACATGTTAAAATGTACTGTAAAACATTTCGTCAATAGACAGTGCTAACCAGAAATTTAAAACTATACTTCAGCCAGTAAGCAAACACAGAAAATGCTAATTTTCACAGTTTTCAAGACACTAATTTCATCTTATATAAAATGAGTATAAAAATCTTTTCTTCAAGGAGTAAACAAAATTATTGTAAAACCTTTTAATGTTATGGTTTCATACGAAAATCGGGCGATATCTTTCACTCTCGAAAAGGAAGGACAAATAGGGGTCAGCCCTTTTTTCAGGTGAAAAGGAACCACCTTTTAAAAAGTCGCTCCATCCCGATTGGTGCCATTTTGTCACTAGAGGGCGAACGGATGTCATTTCTTACTCAAATACGGTTCTTTCGAATTTAAGAGCACAAAAGTCAAAAACAAAGCAAGCAATTTCACTCGCAACAAAACAATGGACTTTTGACTAAGTTTATGTACTGGAACTAATACCTAGTTCCTTTTATAAACATATTCAGCAATAGTCACAAAATAATATTCGTAAGCTAAACGTTCGTTACTCATCTTATTGTCATGTATTACAAAATAAAAAAGTCAAATCAAGTTATGAATAAACTTTCAGTTATAAAGGAAATCTGAGGATATGCTTAGAGTGAGAAACTACCAATTTTTAGAAAAGGTTTTATCACTCGACTCAGTTTTATAGTCAAGTTCTACTCCTACATGCCTTTTCATGCCTTCAGTTTCAGTAACTTAACCCAGTCATTCCATGTAAACAACAGGAGGATGTTCTTTTATGTAAATAAAACTAGAATTAATTAAAAGTAATACGATTTACTCTCGCTCTGATTATCTTTAATGTCAATTATATAAATTTTCTATCATACTTACTTCCGTATAAGTCAAATATTCTGGATGAAGTGGATAGCCCATCGTCATCATATTCGTCAATCCGAATTTGTTTCAATTCTGCATCGTACCATACCTAAACGCAATTAAAGCTTATTAGGCTGTACAAGAAAATAATATATGCACTGATATAAAGACATAAATTGTTTAAGTAAAGATTCAGTAAAGTATTCAAGAAATGCTTCTCTCGAGAAATTCCTGTCTGCTGGTTGATGGTTGATGTTCGAGCTGGTTGATGATCGTGTTTTCCCCATGTATAATAAAAATGCGAGCACTTTCCCTCAAAAAATCCTCTAGGAAGGCATCTCTTCCCTTAGGAAGATAGCCGTTGTGGTTTTTCCATATTCAAATAACCTAACTTATCCTTTCCAGTTTCATTTACTTGATTTATTTTAATGTACATTTCTTTATTTTTCGTATTTTGTATTTTTATTGGGATTTTTAATCAACTTATTTTCTGTCTGTTGTTAAGTCTCCTGTTTATTATTGTTATCATAACTGAAGCTTATTTTTAAAATTAAGACTTGAAGATAAAAGCATTGAAAACTTTCCAAATTATTATGTTTGTTTTGAGATTATGTAATTATTATGCTATAGGAAATCCCCTATTAAACACAAATTATTTCATCTGCTTTGATTTCTCTGATTGGCTTAGTAGCTCAGATCAAATTAGAAACCAAATTGCCCTGTGTAGACGAAATGCTGTCAGGCGCCATGTGTGAGAGAAAAATGTTACTGTATCGCTGAGGCATTTTGCCTCCTTGTGTGAACGGGCCTTAATCGTTAATAAAAGCTCCGAAATAAAACTCGGATTTTTAACGTTTTATGAAATTTAAATTCAGAAGATCATCTTATTCTTAACAGCTCGCCAAGCAAATAAAAAATATGTGAATCAGAAATCCTATTTCACTATTTGATAAAACAAATTACAGATATGTTGAATTTAAAATACATATAAAATATTATTTAACTATTTTGTAATAAAGTTTATCTTTTGAAATTCAGTTTAAGAATAACAGTTCTAAGAAAGATAAAAACAAGAATTCAAAATCAAAAGAAGGGAAGGTGGAAAAAACGAAATCAGGATTTGTAATTTAATTGCGTTTTTATAAAAGTAAAATTTCATATATTATTTCATTCAAATTCTAGCATCATTTTAGGCCATTTTTAATATTCAGTAATAAAATTATTATTACGAAAAATAAATCATATATTTAAATTAGAATAATAAGCTTCTAAATCATAAAACTAGTTTTTGCTTACTTTTTTATGTGTTGAGAAAACAGCGTTATTAGGATTTTCTTGCGGCTCCATCATGTCGAAGGAAAAACTGAAATAAGTAGGTAAAACTGGAAATGCCATTTTGCTTTTGATACCGCAATGTACACCGGCAGGCACTTGAAACACTGTCTGATCACTTATACCTGACCGGAAACGGTAGAAGTTGTAGACCTGATTGACGTCTTCTTCGCCTGCTTCATTTTTACATCTTACAGATATTGCAATAATAGTAGGCTTGCAAGCATGCCCTACACATGTCGGCAGTTCAATTTCTGGTTCTGGAAATAAATTAATTAATGAAGACTATTTCCTAAAGAAAATATCTTCAATTAAGTGCTTTTATCTGAGCTCATTATTTTAAAATAACTACGCTGCACTGAACTACAGTTTTTTAGGATGTAGGGTTTATATTTATTTTAACTAACATTTATTTTAAGTTTAAACTATCTTTCCTGTCAAGCCTTACTTTCCCCTGGAACTGCCAATGCCAGAGTATGTAAATTTTAGTAGAACGCGCAAGGATTCAAATTATCACCGGAAGTATTCTGAGTTAAATAGAATGGAAATGAGTTCGAGGTGTGCTGTTCTTACTTCACGAGCGCGGAGGTAGTTAGCCAGAAATTGAAGAACCCCGCGTTTCGGCCTGTGTGCTTGCCTCGGAGAATTGTTAATCGTTCAACGTGGTATTCAAAGTTTGCTGAATTAGCAGCGGTATTGTAAAATGCGGTGAGGTTAGTTACGTTTAGAGAGCCTCGTAGTTAGAGTCTTGTTATTATTTTCTTTTCAGGTTCTTATTTTTATTTTACCGCCGGGTCAGCGTAGTTTGTGAGCGTCAAGAGCACGCAATTGTAATTTCTTAAGTTGAATAAAAAGGGACTTAAACCCTTAGCAAGACTCTGTCTATTTTCCAGTTTCAACAGTCACCTCTTGGTTACATGCAGGTTGGAGGCGCGCAACTCTACAAGGGCAAAGTGAAATAATCCTCCTTAAATATTAGCATAAAGTGAAGTGATCAGATGTTTCCGTGATCTCTCCGAAACTAAGTAATTTTAGTAACTAAGAAGAAAGAACATATTCAAAAAAATAATGTAAGAGTTCTTACACTATCAATATTTTAGTCGGTCACGGATGCTTATCCGACAACTATTTAGCCGAAGAGACACTTAGCCGACAATGAAGCCGGTTACACATTTAGCAGACAGAACATTTAACAGACACGGACATTTAGCCAAGATGATATTTAAGCGACAGTTAGCCTAAACAGGAACATTTAGCCGATGCGTATACTTAGACGACAGCACGTTTAACGGGCAATACGTTTAGCTGACAATGAGTATATGTAGATAAGAAAACATGCCACAATATTTTAGCAAAATATATTAATATTTATCTGACAATAGGCTACACATTAAATTATACAACGAGAAGGTTCAGGAATAAGTATCACATTTTTGTTTTTGTTTAATGCTAAAGAGTCTATAGACTTTAAAACTCGACAATTTTGACAGCAATTAGTCATAGAAGCGAAATGATTTTAAATGGAAAGAAATGAGTTGAGTAAAGCGAAAACAAGCCTAATCTGTCAAATAGTAAGGAAACGTGGGGGAAAAACTAAGCTATTAAGAAATTTGAAAGCGTTGAAAAATCAATGTCGTTCACTAAACAAGAAAAATTTTCGTTGACGTGGAAAGGTTCAAATAATTCTAATTAACTAAGTCAAAATTATGATTCAGATCCCATTTCTAATTAGCTAATATAATTTTGTTTATTTCTCTTCTTTATACATACGATTCATATAATCTGGTAAGAAGTTTCAACGCCCTTTCAATTTGCAGATAAATGGCAAACATGACTAACCACATTAAGCTAAAATTACCCGCGAATTAAAATCAGGGATAATATCTTTAATAATCGAACAGCAAATTTATTGACAATTGCAAAAATAACCTAAAATTGACTTTGTGGAGAAACCAAAAGGTTTTGCAATAAGAGAGAGAGACGACAAGATTGTTAGGATTATTTACAGCTGACGGCTATTTGTAATATCAAGAGGAACATTTTGCAAAAGCTTCAGCACTGTTTGTAGCAAAACATCCTCTTCAATGCAAACTGATTCAAATGATTAGTTTCTTAGAAAGTAAGTATTCTGAAAAGCAAATTTTTGGAGCGGGATATATGTAATAGTAGAAAGAAGATATTCGTGAGTTAGTAGAGTAACATGATTTGCATGAAGAAGCAAACGAAGAGAAATAGATTTACAGTAAACAATTTCGGTTTTAGATCCAGAACTATGAGCAATATATGAAAAATTAGAAGTCGAATTGGCAACTAATGAAATGTAATGTTCCTAAGGCTTTGTATAAATAGGATTTTAGGTAATAAATTACAAAATGTCTTACTGAAATATGAGGTCAGCTCAACCCATGATGTAAATTTATCATATGAAATATGAGGCGTGTGGTATCAATGAAAAATATAACACATCATTTATAAAAATTACTGTGAAATAGGATGTTTAACAATGAAGAATTTTAAATGATACGAGGCGTATTCGGAAACTAAGTACCGTTTTGAAAAAAAAAAAAAAATAGTAAAACAATTTTTTCGAATCCAATTTTATTTTTACATGAAAATGCATGTCTTAAACTATTTTTCAACATAGTTTCCGCCAATGATCAAACATTTGTCATAGCGGGTGACCAGTTTTTGTATACCATCGTCAAAGAAACTTCCTGCCAGTTTCGATAACCACGACTCTACAGCATTTTTCGTGTCATCATCAGATCTAAAGCGCTTGCCACCAAGCTCGCGCTTCATGTCAGGAATGTTTGGAATGGCACGCCTTAGTTTTGTTAAAGTCTCACAATATCGTGCCGCATTGATGGTTTCACTTCTGGGAAGAAATTCAGTAAGCAAAACGCCTTTCCTATCCCAGAAGACAGTGCACATGATTTTTTGTGATGACATTGTCACTTTGAACTTTTGTTTTTACGGAGAATGAGTGTGTCTGCACTCCATCGATTGTTGTTTGGATTCTGCTGTGAAATGACACACGCAAGTTTCATAACCTGTCACAATTTGGTTTAAAAAGTTTTCTCCCTCATCACTGTACCACGTAAGAAATGTCAGGGCACTACCAAGTCGCTTTGTTTTGTGAACATCAGTGAGCATTTTTGGAACCCATCGGGAACACAGTTTTCGATAATTCAAGCGGTCAGACACAATTTCGAACAAAACAGTACGTGAAATTTGTGGAAATGCCTCTGAAAGAGTTGTCATTGTGAAGCGTCTGTTCTCATGAATTGCTTCATCAACTTTCCTTACCAAATCATCGGTGACAACTGAAGGCCGACCACTCCGAGCCTCGGCGTGGAAATTTGTTCGACCTGCATTAAACATTCTTAAACACTTTCTTACCATTCCATCACTTAATCGCGTATTCACCGTAAACTTCTGTCACTTGACGATAAATTTCGGCCGGTTTAACATTCCTCGCGTTCAAAAATTTAATCACGGCACGAATCTCACAGTCAGCGGGAGAACTAATTGTCTTAAACATTTTGAATATGCACAGCAAACTGAAAACACAACATAGAGCAACCAAAATGGCGACAATTGAAAGTCAGTGAACAATAAAGACTAGTGCGCATGCGCGGGACGCCTACCACAGCGCTGCGACGGAGCTAGAATGAAACAGTACTTAGTTTCCGAATACGCTACGTATTTATGAGTATTTTACAGAAAACGAGTTCTGCTTTTACTTCATCCGCTGCTGCATCCGTTACATTTTGCTACTGAAACAGAGTAATTTTTTAAAAAATAAATAGCTCCACTTTGCAGTTACCAGCCTTCTAAAAAACTGAAAATATATCAATTTTAAAAAATACAGGTTCCTTAAAAATTTAATAATTTTATTTGTTCTTACTAAAATTTTTGTATAAATTTAACTTGATTAAAGCATTTTTCTTAAAACCCTGCTTGATTAAAAACATTTGCATTACATTTGCACATGTATTACATAGTTTTGGATGCATTTACGCAGTTTAGGATTTATCATTTTGAATTATTTAATTTTGATAAATTCCGAGCTTGCAATGCGTACTCACGAATATTTAACATACAATAAGAAAATTTTAAAACACGTTTTAAAAGATATTTATGTTAAAAAACGCATCGAAAATAACAAAAATGTGTGGTGCATAACAATACATAATAAGCAATTAAAAAGCATTTTTTGCCACCATAAAAGCACATTTCGACATTAAGAATAATTGTAACAACAGTGCCACAATACTCTTTAATCTTTCTATTAATAGACAAATTTCCCTGATTCTCAACTTTAAAACTTAACTTCAAGATTTCAACTTCATATAATAATCAGTAAATTTCGTTGTTCATTTCTTAGACCCAATCTTTACTTTTAATTTCTGTTGAATTTTGACCTACCATGTCAATGTGGCGTTACATATATTACCCAAACTGAAAAACCGTTGAAATTTCTTTTCAGAGAATATGCATCATATGTTTGGAAGGAGAAATAAATGTTTAGTAGTTAATCACAATTAGACACTCAAACAGAATTTTGATTTTCGATACACAAAATGTATCCATATAATTTCTTTAGTAAACTGTATTTCTTTGAATCTTTTCACTTTAATAAATATTTTATGCTTTACTTAATGACATAAATTTTTCCACGCTTTCAAAATTTTAATGTGTTAGTATTTCCATGTTTCATTATTATTTTCGTTGGTAGATTACATTTGTTTTCACCTTATTCCACTCATTTCGTTCCTTATAAAATCGTTTCGCTCCTATGTCTGACTGCTTTTGAAACTGATTCCAAAATCTTCGCCAGGGTAAATTTGCTTTTCTGTCCAATTTTAAAATGTATAGTCTCTTTAACATCAAATAAAGACAAAAATGTGTACTTAACCATAAACCTTCTCGTTGTGTACCCAGAAAAAGAGTCTTTTATCTGTTAAATATGAATAAATTTTATTAAAACATTGTCGGATGTTTTTGTCTAAGCGTTGTCAGCTAACCATTATATCGGCTAAATTTGTTGTCTATTAATAGTGCTGTCGGTTAAATGCCGCAGCAGTTAAATGTTCTGTCGGTTAAATGCTCCGTCAGTTAAGGGTCCTGTCTGCTAAATGCCTCTGTCGGCTAAAATTTCTTTCCGCTAAATGTCCGAGTCAGCTGAATATCTGTCGGCTAAGCGCCGCGGACCCTATTTTATTAGCCTTTAAGGTATATCTCCCGCCTTCTTGGCATGCCTTTGTGGTGTAGTAATCTGCATGCTAGGTGCGTATTCCAGAGGTCCATAGTTCGATTCCCGGCGAAGGCATCGCATATTTTTCATTTTCCTGCTTCCAAAATACCTAATGTCTCTACAGTGGTGCCGAACTAAAAGGGTGGTGGAGGATGAATCTCCGCACCCAGGATTTGGCTATTGGGTCCCCTAAAAAAACCAGACGCCCTCTAAAAGGGGGAGTATATAAGGTACTTCTTCCTCCTTCTTGACATGTCTTCGTGGTGTAGTGGTCCGCACCCTGGGCGTGTATTCCAGACGTCCGTGGTTCGATTCCCGGCGAAGGCGTTGCATATTTTTCATCTTTCCTGCTTTCACAATACCTAATGTCTCTACAAGCCTAAAAAATAAATTTATTGACTAGAAATACTTTTTGAATAGTTCAGCAATGTTAAATTTTGCAATTATCATAGATTTCAGAGTCTCCCGATTGTTATCTATTTTTTATGGTCAGACTATATGTTATATTGCTTTCTTTGTTTCCAGTAAGAATAGTTCAATCAGTAATGGTACATATTTAAATGAATTTAATTGTCTGACAAATCTTTCTAGGACTATGCAACTCAAGAGTATGTCGGTATATATAATGTGAATACGAGCCAACTTTTCCTGGAAAGTTTGACGAAGTCTTCCCAAGTATGCTAATTCATATTCATACTTGGAAAGTTTAAACAAGGTATTAGGATTAAACAAAACTTTATGCAACCAATTCGTTAGTTGAACCGGAACAAACAATCGATATCAGTGGCCAATACCTCTGCAAATGATGGATTAAAATCATGGTTTAAATTTTCAGCTATATCAAAATATTTCTAAACGTTTTTCAAATGAATAATATTTTATCACTTGACTTTTTTTCACCAAAATGTTTTCATGGAAAAGTTAACCTTTCGACAATACTTTTCCATTCCACATTGCTTTTCAAGTGATCCATTGCAAACTCTGAAGATAATTTAATTCCAAACGACGTTAGAAACAGGAACTCAAAAATTCTTTCCCAAAACATTTTTGCAAACCTTTTTCTTTTTATAGACAGCACGAGTATTCAGAAAGTATATTTAGATCTCAGAGTTATTTGAATATTAAAAGCATTTTTATTTTTTAATAACTTTCCATGGCTACATGAATCAGTATTGGAAAATTTCATATCAAGTATTTATAAAATCTGGGACGTATTATAAAGAGAGACACTACCCTGGAAATCTGGGACTGTCTTACCTAATTTCGAATGTCTTACTTTAACATACAGGAAGCAGCGCAGGGATTTGAATGAAAAATTATTCTTTAAAGTATTTAACATTTATGCAACATTATTAAACTCTGATTGCAGCGTAAAGATTAACTCTCCCTTACAGATGCTTATTAATCTTTATTTCTTCATCAAACTTCTGATGAAACTTCATCAAACTTTTTCACCAAAATGTTTTCATGGAAAAGTTAACCTTTCGACAATATTTTTTCATTCCACATTGCTTTTGAAGTGCTCCTACTATACCCCTACCTTATAATTATTCTTATCCTAATATTTTAAAGACCTTTCAAGTTCAGTTTAATAAAATTATGCAATTTTTATAAACAGCGGAATCTATGAAGCAAGTGGGCATTCGAATTTTGCTTGGAAAGACTTCACGCACTGGCATTATTAATAACTTTAAAGCAAAAGCTGATTAAATGTAATTAAATTATGAATAAATTGCTTTATTAAGTTTGACTAGTTAAATTATGTTTGTAAAACTGCTGTATGCAATTTTATTTTCATTCTAAATACATTCAATAATGCGACAAAAATATTTTTGTGGCATTATGTGGTTTTAGCCAATTCTCCAGTATACTTGATAATTATAAATTCCAAAATGCACCGGAGTTTTGTTGTAAATAGAATTTTAAATTTCAAAAAATTTAGATGTTACATTAAAGGCTTATCATCGCTTATTAAATAAAGCAAATAAGATAATTTATCTTACTTGAAAAAACGTGAACCACTTCGCAGTTATTTCTCCCAAACTGCGGAAAGTCCAATTTTGTTGTGTATATATATGAAGGGAAAACAAAAAGTTCCTGTCTGTCAAACGTCTACAAAAGCAAATATGTTAAACTTTTATTTGAAAGTGTAATTAAAGAAACAAAATGCACTTCAAAACTTTTTCAAAGTTTGAAAAAATAAAATTTTATAATAACTAAAAATGTTACCGAATTATCAAAGAAAAGGGCCTTCTCAGGTTTCTCAAGTATCTTTTTATTGTTTTTATCTATTGTATAAGGGAAAAACGAAGTCTCCTCCTCAGTAGGTATTTTTGATACAGAACATTCATTTCCTGTAAAATAAACAATTTCAATGAAAACCAAAAATATGGGTAAGGTGCAATTCAATTAATCTGAAAAAAAAAAAAAAAAATTAAAACGCAAACATGTGTGTCCTAATCTTACAAAGGAAGTTTGCTCTCTCTCTTTATGAACTACAAGCGTATAAGACAGCATATATTAAAAATGGAGTTTTCATTACAAATAATATGATTTTTGTAAGGCTGCAAGGATTATGTTAATTTTATTAACAATTAAATTTTGAGTTAAGCTTCTTTCCTGTCAAATTCTTAACTTCAACTTACTACTTCCAGGCAGAACGTAGTTTTAGAATCACGTCTGAATACATAATGAGGAGGACCGGTATTTAACCACGAAGTTCTACTTGCTGAGTTAGAGAGAATCAGAGTTTCTGATTAGCGCGCATCCGCCTTTTTGGCTACTCTTCTCTCAAAGCTGTTATTACGCTCGGCCATACTCGGGACCATGATAGCTTCGCAGTCATCTCATGTTTAATAGGCCAACTCCATTAAAACTTTGATAGCTTCGGCTATATCTCTTTAGTTTAGATTAGGTTTAGCTTTCGTCTTAGCCTCTTAAGTTCAAGCCCAAATGTAGGCTTTTATTGTACACTCCAAGACGGAGTTCTGTTAAATCTTATTTGAATAATAAAGGGTTATTTACCCTTCCATCTTGTTGCTTCTTGTCACACGAACTCAAGTAATTATTCGCTTATCAATTCTTAAGATTCTTCACGCTTCTCTCATTTACAAGTGGGGAACTCTACAAGGCAGCCAATGATGTTCCATTTGAAATCTTCCAAAGTTTTTGGGAATATCCAGATTCACTTTCTTCTCTAAGTATTTCTAAAAAACATGACTTTGGGGTGATAAGAATCGTGTATAATTAATTATCCGGTTACCAAAGTAAACGCATAAATAATGAATACAAGTTCTTGCTTCTTTGAACTGGCTATACGATTTAATTCACTATCCTATATCGCCAGGATATTTGTATATGCTTCTTCTCTCTCATTATGCGTTTCATCATGCAGAGAACTGTTAGATTATATATTGATATATCTGTGCCATCAACTTGCTTTAAAAGAAATTGTAATCACAGTTTATCATCTTAAAAATACACAACAAGAGCCACCAGCGGCTGAGCAATAAAAGCCCCTGGACACTGGTAGTTCGGTACGGTACCGGAGTGCCGTGGAACAGGCTGGTTATGTGGGCCTTTCAGTGGTTTTCCTCATGTGTGACATGGATACGAGCAAATTTATCTTAAAAGACCTTCACAAGATGCTCCTCCCTTTCCGTATACTGCCAAAAGGCGGAGCACATAATAATTTTTTTTAAAGTACATAACACAAGTGAGATTATGCAGATACAATGATTTCTTTCGCAGAGTAATTTATGTGCTTTATGAATTAATAAAGCTACTCTCAGTCAGCCAACGTTTGTCTGACTGTGGAATTCAGCATGGAAATTTTTCTTATGAAACCATTAAACCAGAAGCTGAACTGTGTCTGCTAATCTTAGTCCAGTGGAAGAAGTTCATCAGTGCTTGTACTTCGTAAATACATACTTTTTTAACAGTTTTTCGTGAAGAACCATAAGAAACCTCGTTTTTTTCCAACAACTGTCCAATTGATTTCTTGGAAATTTTTCCAGCAGCTTCTGTGGTTAGTAGTACTGATCTTTCTCCTCTTGTTTTCCTTTGAAGTTGTATTCAATTAACTCGTCTTTTCTTAGTTTGAAACTTTCCTGCATTTTTATATTTCATCTATTACATCAAAAAATTATAAATTTCGTGTAGAAAGAGGGTCCCGAGATTGGGGCAAAATATCGGCTCTAGTAGCAATTTCTGGTAACCCAAAATCGACTCTGTTATTGAACTTTAAGTGAATTGTAGAAGGTGTATCACGTCACAAAGAAGTATGTCAGGTAAGATAAGTACTCAGTTCTGTTCATCACTTTTTTTTCCGTTTTGGATGATCCCGCGAAAGACACTTTGTTGGAGGTGATATCTCGGAAGATCTTGCTTAGAACCACTATTATCTCAAATGTTGGAAAGCCTGTGATCCCCTTGGTAATCAAGGTTTCAACATTTGTTAGAAAATCATTCTTTGACGCATAAAAACTCCGAAATTGATACTCATACCAAATCTACTGATGGCATGGGCAGCCAGATTTAGTGGCAGATGAAATTTCTGATTCTTATTTGGTGGAGTTTTCGTGGCGTCTTGGGTACTATGATCAGGAGGAACAGAATCCGTCTCGGGACCATACAAGTTGTATTAAAGAATTGTATGTGCTCCAGTTATACAATGCTGACCATAAGACATAGCTATGAACACACAGGTGAGTACTTTTTTTGTTTTTGTATGAACACACAGATGAGTACTTTTCTTGTTTTTGTAACATATGTTTTCGGACAGCTATCTTGGAAAAATTACTTCTTGGCATCAAAAAATTCTCCAAAAATATCAAGGGGCACCCTACTGTAAAAGTTTACCTATATCCTTTTACCCTATACCTTTCATCCTACTTAAACCTATAAATTAAGTAAATTCAAATAACGACTGAGAATCTAAATTTATAGAGAGAGTTTGATTACCTGGACTCGGAACACGATCATACTATTTCTTCTTGCTAGTGTGCTCTATACTGCTTCACTCGTAGTTACGTAAAAAGATGGATTAGTTCAGGAACATGTTTCCTAGTCCTTCATATGTTGAATTATTAAATATCGAGCTATTATGCTATTATAAGGCAGCATGCAGCGACACGTAGTTTTATTATTCTCTTTAATTATAAACTACAAGCCCTGAACCATCAATAAATATTTTTAGCCTATAAGGTATTTCTCCCGCCTTCCTAACGTGCCTTCGTGGTGTAGTGGTTCTGCACGCTGGGCCGGTATTCCAGAGGTTGGTGGTTCGATACCCGGCGAAGGCAGTTTCTCATTTTTCATTTTTCCTGCTTCAAAAAATCCTAATGTCTCTAAAGTGGCGCCCGAACTAGAAAAAGGGTGTTGGATGAAGATTCGCCACACACATGATTTGGTGATTGCGTCCCCTGAAAACCCCAGTCGCCCTTTAAAAAGGGGAGTATATAAGATATTTCTAACACTTTCCTAGGGTGCCTTCGTGGTGTAGTGGTTCTGCACGCTGGGACGGTATTCCAGAGGTCTGTGGTTTGATTCCCGGCAAAGGCAGTTGCTATTTTGCGTCTTGCCTGCTTCCAAAAAATACCTAATGTCTCTACAGTGGCGCCCGAAATAAAAAGGGTGCTGGATTCTCCACACCCAGGATTTGGAGATTGGGTCCCCTCAAAACCCCAGTCGCCCTTTAAAAGGGTGAGTATATAAGGAATTTTTCCCGCCTTCCTAACGTGCCTTCATGGTGTAGTGGTTCTGCACGCTGGGCCAGTATTCCAGAGGCCCGTGGTTCGATTGTCGGCGAAGGCAGTTGCTCATTTTTCATCTTGCCTGCTTCCAAAAAATACCTAATGTCTCTACAAGACCAAAAGGAACGAATGGGCTATTAGTCTTGAAATGGGATTTTGCAGCGTCCACTGTAAAGGCGAATCACTTTTAAGATTGTTGCCACCAAATATTATCACCCTGTAGTTGTTTTTAAATAAATTAAATAATGAAAAATCTGCATGCGTGCATGTATATTCCTCGTACTCTGGAAAAACAACGGTACCTGGATTGGTCATATTTTGAATAACGTAGTCCTCCACCCGAAAATGTGCACTTGGAAGCCCGAATTTTGAATTTTGTACTTGTATATTTCGTAAAATGTTAATGATTTTTTTTTTTTTTTACTAACAAACTCAACGATTTGAAAGCGAGCAGTGGCAACACTGTATGGAGTAAAACATTTTTATCTCTGCACTTCACGAGACTGATTACAGGAACTTCTAAAGAGATACTATTTTTAACTTTTGTGATTTTGCCGTCGAATTGAATTTTAGGAGGCGTAAATGCGAAGAACACGATATTTAATAAATAAAGCTAACACACAAAACGTTAATAATAAAAAGACAAATCAAACGTTTTTCAAGCCATCTTATTAAGAAAACTGAACATGATAAGATGAATTTAGAAAAGACTGAAATTATCAACTCGTATTGCGTATCTTTTTGTTGACCTGCTGTAAAGATTTTGCAGCAATATAAGTTTTTACAAAGAAAATTCTTTACTTATATGTAAATGTCTTTGGAGTGTAAGTACTGCAAACGAAAGTTTTAAATAACATTTTATTTTAACTAAAAATGAAAAGATGCACTCGCTTGGTCCTCACAATTCACCACCCCTTGTAGCTACGTAAATTAACATAAAATGAGAATGTAACAAATCACTAGTAAATTAAGTAGTATGTATAAACTCAAAGGTGTCGAATACCAAACTATAGAGCTAATTTCAAACTCTCAGCATAAATATCGGAATTAAACCCGCTACTACCCTTTTTGAACACTTGACATGCAGCTTAAATACTGCTTCTGAAACACGTTTAAATTTCCATTTATGTCATTGCAAATTTACATTCCGGCAAGAAACTGAAAACAGGAGGGAAAGGAAAGAAAACTAAAACTAATTGATTAGATCGACACCCTTGCGCACATAAATTGCAGGACATTTAAATTACAAAACAGTTTTCTTATACAACCCATTTCTGTTTATTTAAAAGCTATTTAATTTCATATACTGTTTCTATCTTTGATTTTTTAACTCAAAAGAGTTACTAAACTGTTTACAAAAGTAGCGAAATTTTAAAATTAAACACGAAATAAAATTGAGTAAAAAAAAAAAAAAAAAAAACTCTTCTGAATTCATTTTAAATCCATTTTACAATCCGTTTTTGGAAAAAGGAGACATTTATTCCCTCCGTACGTGCAGATGCCAAGCCTGAACATCGTTCAAATAAATTCTAGAGCGGTCAAATGGATATTTTCGTTAAATATATATTCGAAATTTTTCGCGATTACAATACTTCCTTTACCTCTTACAAGGAAGAAGAACCGCATTTAATTAAATAAATCATAAATTAATTTAATCGAAATGAAAATTTTCATTAAAGAATTTTAAAGGACAAAATTCACAGCAATTTTTAGCATCCGTTAACGAATTGTGCACTAAAATAAATTTAATAAAATTAAAACAAGGGACAGCCTTTTAGCAGTACAAAATAGCTAAAATGGTGTATAACGCGAGGATAAAAATTAAATAATGAAAAATATTACCATTTAAAAACACGCTCAGGAAACTTTTACAGATCTCAAACTTACCTGCAATATAAATCACTTCATCATCGTTGAAGTTATAGATGCTTTTAGTAAACACGTCCTGATAAGTGTAAAATAAGGCAGCTCTGTTGTTAGTTCTGTCGTAATACACAGCTGCATCTATTTCCTCGAGCTCTGTTTGAAAAATCGCTTGAACTTCTGTTTCAAATACATCAGGAAACGTTGGCTTCGGTGGATCACCTATGAGAAATTATAATTTAGATTTTTTTGATCAAACGTGATTAGATATTAAGAGAGTCGTATATGCTCTCTTGTGCTGCTAAGTAAGTCATCAAAGCTTTAGAAAATTTTTAATATGCTTTTTTTGACAATTTTTATCATAACGTTAAAATTTTATTTCTTAATTACCCACTTCTAACTTTATTTCAAAACTGCACAAATTCATAGACTTTTTAATCCTTTTCTCTCCATTTTCGGCTTTAGGGTATTAAAAACAGTTAGAAACGGTTTAATGGCACTTTCTTGCCTGACATTTCCAAAAAAAAAAAAATATTCATTTAAGGGCAAGGAGAATTGTGGGTTAAGTAATTTAGTGCGCATCAAAGCATTTGCCCAGCACTCAATTACCTGAGAAATCCACTGCTTGATGCCACTTGCCCGACTACGTTTGTCCGACAACTCGTTTCCCAGACGGGTGTGTTTGCCCGACAGGTAAACGTTTTCCTGACATATTACTTTTTTTAATTCATTCTAGATAGCAGATTATTATATTTCATAAAAATGACCCTAAATACATATGCGTATGCCATGGGGAATAAGATTTTTCTGACCGACGAGGGAAACCAATTCATCTTCGCTTAAAACATGAAAAATTCTTGTAATTAAAATATATACATTTACGGGTAATTATACAACTAATGAACTAATTAATTAACTAAATTACTAACTAATTAATAAGTAACTAATAACAACTAATGAACTAACTAAATTAATTATAAAATAATTAATTAATTTAAATAACGAAATATAAACAACATTAACTACTTTTCGATTGTAATGAAAAAAGCGATCACAAAATATACTCGATATTTCATTTGAAGCAGTTCCAAAAGTCAAAACTTACTACTTTGAATGTACATTAAATATCCATTATACAAATCATTTTATCACATTAAATATCAACTATACAATTTATTTTACTTTGAATGCATATTAAATATGAACTGCACAAATTATTTTATTAAAAAATGGCACTATGTTTAACGCGATGCATGAGATTTTACAGTGACACAAAACAGAATATTTAAATTTTTATTTTAAATATAAAAAGGATATATATTAATTCATAGGCATACCTCAATCACTCGTTACATTTTAATAATATGTTATGCAATTAAACACTAAATACAGTATGTAATAAAAGAACAAAAACTAATTAAATATATTAAAACCATTTAAATATTTTTAAATATCAAAATAAAAATTTGCAAAAATTGTTAAAAAATTCAATAGAAAGAAAGTTTTTTAATATAATAATTTTTTAGAAAAAATTTTACTCCGTCTGGCTAAATCATTAACTAATTAAGAAATAATAATTAATGTACCATGATCAACTTAGCCCACAAATATAAATTGTTCAATAATTTACAAAAAAAAAATTGAATATGTGAGCTGTGTTTGTAAATAATACAGGGTAAGCAAAACTTTTTCCCTCATTACAAAACAATATACTTCGCGAAAACATACAGTTAGGCACATATATTTTTGAAACACTAACTGCAGCAATTCAGAGGCAGTTTTTTTTTTTTTTTTTTTTTTTAAGAACAATACTGTATAACTAAATTTCAGTGTGTTCTATAGTTTGGCTTTTCTCTATAGTTTGGGAAAAGTCAACTATTTAACTTTTCTTACCAATTCCTTATGCTCTTAACATCTGGAGGATGGTGTCCATACAAGCTCTTAAACCACCGCTGATGGGCGATTTAGTTTCATGATACCACAAAATATAATCAGCTTTTTTTCATCGATTCATTCCGTTACAAACTATTCACTGGTGCAATTGAATGTCAGTGAAACGCTAGAGTAAAATTAATTGCAGAACAGATTAAAATGAAAACGTTTTGTGCGTTCTAGTTCAGTTCATTAATTTACACGCTATTAATAGTATAACATCCAGTGCTTAAGTGAATAAAGTTGCTGAAAATTCCTAGTTATATCATAACTTCCATTCCTTAGAACAGAAACATCATCGATGCTTCATCGAAATATCGTAGATTGACTACATCGATACCTGTTCTCATAAAATGTAGCATAAATTGAAACAATATTTCTAAAAATATTTTCCAGAGATTTCTTTTGTGGAAGTCGATATCCTTGAAAACAAACTGAATATCTATTTTCAACTCATTCAAGAATTTCGTTTAACGTCTACAAAATTTGGAAAGCGAAAAAATTTATTTAAACTTGTTTTCTGTATAATAAAATGTGTATTGAAAAAGTCTCTCCTGGATTATTTTCTTAAATATTGATCCCAGCTGTATACATACGATTATAAAGTTTTTTTTTAACAGAAAATAGCTAACTGTACAAAACAGCTTCTGCTAGGTGGAGTAGAGGGTGTATAAGTAATGAAATGTAACATTTTGTATAGCCATCGTTGAGCGAGATTTCCAATAAATAACATTTTCATTAGAGTAAACTCAATAAATAAAAAGCTCCAAACATTTGTGTGCAAAATTAACGAAGTCACAAAACAACTACACTGACTGACCATCATCTTTGTTGAGTCAATAACAGTAAAGATTTAAAGATAAATTAAAAATTGAGTGTTATTTTTATATCCTTTATCAACGTTATTTCATACCTCCAAACGTCCAAAGATGCAATGATTAATGTGATTTCTTTTTCTTTATTTAGCTTATATTCGCCTCTCAGAGCGTTATGTGACGTAATATATGTTTTGGGCAATCTGCCAACTTAAGCTTTGAACTTCTAAATAATACTATAAACGTTTTATTAATCTACTGTGAAGTTAATATTTAAACAATTAAATGGGAGTATTCCAAGAATTTGCTGTGCGTGGTGCGTGAGGGCGCATGGAAGATGTATTTAAGATTTTGTTTTGCCGAATGACAACATTCCGAGAAACTGCAACCAGTGAAGACACATGGAAGATCATTTAGTAGCAGCTCTTGCCTACAGCTTTTCTATATTATTTCCGTTCATATCTCTGATTTCCGAAGAATTATTATGTCTACAAAATTTTCTTTTCCAATGACAATATTTTGTATCGCAAGTAAAAAAAAATTATCTTCTTTAAGGTGTAATAAACCACAAGTACTAGTAAAATAAATAATAATTACACTGTAATTCTAATTTACGTATATGCAGTATAATAATAACTATATTGTACTTTTAATTATAATGTAATTGTAATTATAAATTGCACAGTTTCATCGCTATTCATTTAATTACATTGTAATTGAATTAATTGCAATTACAGTTATGATGTAACTGTATGATTTATGATTGCTGTTACGATGTAACTGAGTTAATGCTGTAATTAGTAATTATAATTACATTATAATTGAAGGCTATCGACTTACAATAAATAATACTGTAATTGCATTCCAATTATATTGCAATTGTAGTTGCAGTGACATTGTAATTATAAATGTAAGTAATTCAATTACAGTTTAATTGTAATTATAGTGTAATTAAATTATTTACACTTGCAAATACATTGTAACTCAATTATTAATCGATTTACTGAAACTGATTACTAATCACCAATTCCTGTGACCAGTTTTTAAGTTTTATCAGTATTTATATACAATTCAGTATATTAACAATGGATCATCATTATCGATTGCTTGCATCTAGTTGTGGTATTTTTCGTTTATTCTTCAGTTTTATTCGTCACATTGATGGTCCTGAGACTGAGACTTCGACTATACGTTTTAATGTAATTTACTGTATGTTTTGTTGCAAGGGAAACTTTAATTTTTCTTTTATCATATTTCATTTCATCGAACATTAAATAATTTTAAAAAGTAAAATATTTGTACTTCCCTGAAACAAAATATAAAACTTGCGGAAAATAAAAAAATAAATAAATAAATAAATAAAATAAAAAAATAAATAAATAATAAAAAATAAAAATAAAAATAATAAATAAAAATAAAAATAAAAATAAAATAAATAATAAATATTTTATTTGCTATATCATAAAATTAAAAATGTTATTTTAAAATTAAATTCACATATCTTTTTTTTTTTTTTTTTTTAATATACTTACGCATAGTATGCAACCGATTTTTCGTTATTTTACAGGATAAAAACAGTTTACATATTGCAGGCATTCACCTGGATTGATTTAATAACTTCTGTAAAAAATTCAACTACAATTTTTTATATTTTTTAAATAAAAAGAAAAATTAAACCTTATGCACAGAAATGAACAAGCGTAGTTTACTTCATTGAAACGTGAATAACCATTGATAAATCCGAATATTTCTTTGGAGAGCAAAAAACAAACATTTAACTTATTAATAAATGCCTTTTAAAAGGATTAAAACTTATTTCTTTACAATAAGTTTAAGTTCTTTACAATAAGTTTTAAGTTAAGTAGTTTAAGTTAAGTTCTTTACAATAAGTTTAGTTAATAAGTTTTAATAAGTTTAACTTATTTCTTTACAATAAGTTTTAAAATGTTTCAGTCATCATACAGTACATGAAAGCTTTATACCTTCTAAGCCTATGATATTAGGATAAATTTAATTTTAAAAAATACTTTTGAATAAAATTCAGGTACAAAATAATTAACGAATATGTTGTTTCAATGCAGTTATGAATTAAAAAAGAATTATTTGTCCTTAATTAAATTTCCTGTCGCTATAACAATACTTCGTACATTTACCCTCATAATTCACGCGAAATAATTTTTCTGGAAGTTATTCTGTATACGAAATAACCATATTGAAATATTTGTCGAGTTTAAAACAATTTTTGATGAATCCTAAATTTTATTCGTTGCTACATCGCAAAGAATTTTCATGCATCTTACCTTGAGAATATGCTGAACTAATACAGAGTAAAAAGTACAAAGTCCACATTCCAGCAGAGAGGAAAGTACTTCTCATTTTCAGTCGCTTCATGAGGTATATGGCCCAATGATCATTACCTTACCTTCAAGCAATCATTATTCACATCATCACAAGCGGGGCGGATTAAGCAAATGCTCTTCGTATGATGACTTATCAGACGGTTATCAACTTCTCAAAGGTAAACAATCGGACATATCTAACTCTCATTGAGACAATATCTATAACGTGCTTTAAAATAGGAAAAGAAAGGATAAAAATCATTGAAGTTGTAAAATTTTCAAAGAATTTACTATCTTCGAATATGACGGAAGAAGTTTCGGTGTCTTTTAGGAGCAGTTCTTATCAATAGAAATATTTACATACATGCATAAATATTTACAAACATGCTACGATTAATTATCACGTCCTGGTATAGTGCGACGACAGGACTAGATCTGAACTCATTTTAATGAAAATTAAGGCCTGTACAATAAAAAGACTAGCACAATAAAAAAAATGTTATGCCCATATGTGTTTAATAGGGAACTTCAAAAATTGCATTTAGTCAAAAATTATGTAAATAAAAAGCAGAAAAAATATAAAATTACAGCACACAAGACACAGTACTCAAAGATACGGTGTTATACATAAAATCGGGAAAATATTAATTTTAAGTTGACGTTGATTTCATAGAAAACTCAATTGATGCCCAGGAAGTCAAACAATCAAATCGCTCTTCTTCATACAGCAAAAATATTCTTTGCTGGGCCACTTGTCAAATGAATCTTTAAAATGAGCTGAACAGTGGCAGCGCAGTCTATCGGGCAAAAGAGACTGAAAGTAAGACTAATTAGCCAAGATTTAAATGCTTGTTACTTTATTACTTGACTTCCTGTAGTCTTTAAAACAGGCGTTTCAGTAACGTTGCCTGTCCTCCCATTTTCAGTCGTAATATGTGTCATCACCGGATAGCACTTATCCCCTAAACCGCTCTTTTGAAACTGTAGTTTTAGTCAGCTTTCATTCGCGCTTTTTATGAAGCAAAATACTGTAAACAGAAATAAAACTTATAAAATGGCATCAAATCGTCTGCTGCAGCTGTAGTTCCCATGGTTACAAGGCAAGTCGGATGGCGAAAAATAACCTTGAAGTTCTTATTTTAGACTATAATAGGTTCTTTAGCATTTTGTTGGAAATACTACGCTGTAGAATATTCCTGCTTTTTAAATTCTTGATAACTAGGGAAAACGTTTGTGAATTAATGAAATTTGCAAAGAAGAAACCATGAGAGAATTATATATTAATCTACCTAGTCACTGGAATCCTTATATCATGGGTCAATATTGAGTTCAAATTGGTTGTGAAAGTGAAAAGATAATGACTGTCTATGATATTTCGGAACCGCATTAAATTTTCATTACTATCCAAGTTCTCCATGTAGTTCATCTCAGTTATTGGATCATTTGACGATAAAATTTGGAAATTTACTGAAGGAATAAAAAAAAATTCAGAATGCCCGAAACAAACTGTACGAACTATACTCGGAGAACAACTATTTAAAAAAAATTTAAAACTAATGAACGATTTCTAAATATTCTTGCAAATTTCTGCGATAACAGTATCACCCGCATAGTAAAAAAATACTAGTACAGAAATGCACGGAATTTTCTCATTGACTGAATAAAAACTGACTTCATTTTCTTTCATAACATAAAAGTTTGATGTAATTATGTTTTCATATTACCTATAACTCTGTAATTGTATCATTTGATATCATTATGTATGTTAAACAAATGATTTAAAAAAATCAGAAAGCTTTCAGATTTTATATTACGCCCAAAAGGGCATTCTTAAAGTTTAACAGAATTTGAAATAGAACTATAAAATTAATTCAAAATTTGGGCTTCCGAATGCCCATGTTCGGTTGGAGGGCTACGTTATTCAAAATTTGATTTCTCGCATTGTTTTTCCACAATGCGAGAAACATTCATGCATTCATGCAGATTCTTCATTATTTAGTTTCTTTAAATATAATGCACGGTGATAATATTTGGTGGCAACAGTTTGAAAAGTGAAACAACTCAGAAAGTGAAATGACGCAAAATGCCGTTATGAGACTAATAGCCATTTGGGTCTAACGCCCTTTTGGGCTAAAAAAGAAAAAAGGATTGCTGTGCTAACAATCTTCACGCTGTTGACTTCACGCAAACTATTTAAAAATATTTCCTCCTTTAAAATAGTAGAAATGCGTATAAAATAGGCTAAATGTTGGTTACGAAAAAAACTACTTAATTTGGGAGGTGTCGAAACCTATTGTTGGGATTGAAATGAAGCTTCTGAGAAAAGATTTGCTTTTGCTTTTGCAGAGTAAAAATAACCATCATCAATACAGATATGCGTGCTGCAGTTTCTATTAAGATTTAAGATTTTATTCCTCTCTGAGACAATCTTGTGATTTACAGAAAGGGTCTTTCATGACATGCTTTTTATTATCAGACTGTGCTTTTAGGATTCCAGATATTGAACCATTTTCTTCCTGTATTCTGTTTCTTAGTTTAATTTTGGTACATATATTTTTGAGAAGTTGTCAGTGATATTGATACCGATTTTAACAGTAGTCGCCTCTTCATATGATGTCATATAATCAGTATATAAACTAACTGCATCATTGGAAGGATTCAGTGCAGTTAGATCATTTACAGATTCTTCCCTATTTTTCAAAAACCTATTTGCTGTCGAAAGGTAAGATCGCTGAACAATGGTTTTCGATCCGAGTGCAAGTCCCGGCAAAAGAGCTGGCTGCTAGAAGTTTTCATGGTTTTCTATCTGTGTCATCATGCGTAACATGAGCCAGTTTCCTTTAAAAATTCTTCCATGAAGGCATACTTCCCTTTAGGCAAATAATTCTCAATGATTTATCTTAATCTAAATTCCTCTTTTTATTTTAAGGTGTTGATTTTCAGATGTTATAATACGAGTTCTTAGCTTTCTCGAATTAAAAATTCTAGTCATTCCAAGACCTAGCACATGTTCTGAAGAAAGATCAATTATTCTATCCAGTTCTATGAGAAAAAGAGAAGCTCCTAAAAGAATGTCTATGATGTGAATTCTAAAATATAAATGTGTAATTCTGTATGTGAAATCCTCAGAAATGGGAAGATCGAAAGTTGAACAAGAATAAAGTTTTCTAAAATTGTGTTTCTAAATTTACGTTAAGATTAACAGTCTTTGCTCTAGTTAGAAAGATCCCCTTCCATTAAAGTATTAAAGAGATTATCAAGCAATTAGTAATTGGTGATGTAACAGCGAATTAAAAAAATTGAGAGAGAAAGAGACAGATCTGTATCTCCTGTTTTGTTCAGCCGTTCAATACTTCTCGAAATGGCGACTTAAATTGTGTGTTAGTTTTATGTATAATATTTTTCTGTCATATGTATTTTGACTTTCTCGGAAATGATATATCTATTTCTTTTCCATAGTTCGGTTGTTCGTTTCAAAATATGCCAAACTGCCAAATTTTGTAAAATTGCCAACGGAAGGCTGGTTTTTCTTCCCCTAACAGCACATAAAGTCTTAGATCCGCAATGTTAATTGAATTTGGTATTTATTTAAAAGTATCCTTTTTTAATTAAACTTACTCGACTCCTTCTTCCAAAATTCGAAATTTAGTTTTAAATCAAATAAAATTCAGATTTTTTTTCTGATCCATTTTAATAATTTTATTTCTAAATATTTTGAAGAATAGTTTCACAAGCCATTTTGAACTATAACCTATAAAGATTTGCACACCAACTTAAAGTAAATATTTTTAGACATATATCTAAAAGATTAGAATTTTTTATTCAAAAACGTTTGGAGATATATTTAGATTTAAATATCAAGAAGGTTTGGTGAAGATTTTAAACTAGCATAAGATTAAAAGCGATAACAATAACAAATCTGGGTATCATTACTTTTGTTTTACTTAGGTTCCTTTAACTTGGATTTATTTTTCATTCTACTTTATTTTCAACGAATTAACAAACTGAAACCAGTTTGAGAAACAAATTTAAAATATTTTAATTTAAAAGCGTCAAATTAATACATTCAAGAAGTTACACTTGATTCTTAATATTAAATTTTAACGCTTAAGTTCAATATTAAAAATTTTGAAATTATTACAATTACAATGTTAAATAATATATTATACTATATTAAATTTTAGCGCTAAATTTTAATACAGTAATTGTAATGATTTTTAAGAGCCTTATTTAAGGAAAAATGGTAACTTATTAAATTTTGAGTTTTGTGGTTGGATGCATTTGAAACTGAGGAAAATATATATTATAGTAATGAAGGCATTCATGAAGAATCGGAATATAATTCGCCTTTGAAATTCAATAAAGAAAAGCCAGATCATAGTTTCAGTGCAAACATCATGATGACTACCACAAATTAACCACTAGTTAGACTTGTCACATTTTATATGCTTTTGTATAATGCATGCATTCAGTACCTGGATGCTCTGAATAACTAAAAGTAGACAATGATAATTTCTGTTTCTTATATGTATGTTAAAAAAGAAGTAATGAAGATTTAGGTAGAGAACATTACGCTGTTGAAAGACGGTACTATATGTATATACTACATGTATCGAAGGTCTATGACTAGATATGTGATCAGCTACAATAAGGCCAAATTAAAACCTAAAACGGTATTATGAATAAACTGATTCACATTTTTTAGCTAATTAAAAGAGTAAATCTTATGACAATATCTGATAGTTTAATAATTTCTAACTTATCAAGCCCCTGTAATGTATGTTTAATTTTACTTGTTAATGTTGCAACCAATTAAAAATCAGTTTGGAATTTATAGCTAATCATGTTATATTATATATAGCTTGTTCGCCAAATTATCGCCTCCTACGATTGAGGCAGCAGACTTGAAGAAGAAATCTAACCGGTCTGACGTGAGCAATTACTTGTAACCGAAGCTCACAATTAAATTGTATTTTGCTTCACTGTAAATATTTGTATATGATGTTTTTCTAAATAAAATAATTAAAAACGAAGCAGTGAAGCTGGTCCGTCGATAAAAAATAACCTTTAAGAAAAATAAGTTTATTCATCTGGCTCCGTCGACCCTGGAGCCTACTT